ATATACCTTTCACATTAACTTGCGATGCTTCCAATATAGGAATAGGTAGTGTACTATCCCAAATAACTGAAGGAAAAGATTTACCTGTCGCATATTATTCGTATACTCTTAACTCGGCAGAACAAAATTATTCAACGACGGAGAAAGAATTATTAGCAATAGTAAAATCTGTCGAACACTCTAGACCCTATCTATATGGCCGCAAATTCACGATCTTCACTGATCACAGACCACTCATATAATGAGTTCACAAAATTTCACTACATTTATATATAGGTTAAATTACAATCTGTTTTGTAAACAATGAGTAATTTTGGTGTAATTATTGTGTCTTGAGGTGTTGTTGATGGAGGATAGCCCAGCAGTCATCACTCTAGAATCTTGTAGTTCGGTCCAGTGGTTTATATTTCTTTTTAAGTCTATTTCTCTCGCTGTCTCTATTTAATATTGTTGAAGCTAGTTTGTTGGGGTGATATTTACGTCGTTCGATGTACCTTGTGCTGAATTCTGTTATTTCATTTTTGACAGTCTTCATTTCTAGGTCGTTATGGATTGTGTCGTTTGTTACAAACCAGGGAGCGTTAACTAGGACTCTGAGAGCCTTCGATTGGAGTCTTTGGATGATGTCTATTGTACTGCTGCATGCTGATCCCCATAGCTGTATTCCATAGGTCCATATTGGTTTTATGATAACCTTATAAATGAGTAGCTTATTCTCCAGCGACAGTTTTGATCTTCGACCGATCAACCATTTAAGTTTGTTGAATCGTATTTCTAGTTCTTTGCGTTTCTTTAGTATGTGAGTCTTCCAGGTGAGCCTACTGTCCAGATGTACTCCTAGATATCTTACTTCTGTCACTTCTGGTAGTGGCTGGTTGCACAGAGTGACAGGCGGACAAGAACCTGGTCTGAGAGTGAAGGTGATATGGTTTGATTTTAAGGAGTTGGCTTTGATTTTCCATTTTTTAAGCCATTCTTCCATTCGCTTGATACTCTGCTGCAGTCTTCTTGATGCTTCAACTGGATCTTCGTGAGCTACTAGGAGTGCTGTGTCATCTGCAAATGTCGCTGTTGTGACGTGTTCAGTTAAAGATATATCTGCTGTGAAAATTGTGTACAGTATTGGTCCTAGGACACTGCCTTGAGGTACTCCAGAGTTTATCGGATGGACTTTGGAGATCTGCTGGCCACATTGTACTTGGAAAAATCTGTTGGATAGGTATGACTTTAATAAGAGAAAAAATTTAGGGAGCAGCTGCTTAATTTTGTATAGAAGTCCCATATGCCAAACCTTGTCAAAAGCTTGCTCTATATCAAGAAAACCTGCTGTGCAGTATAATTTTCTTTCAAGCGAATCTGAGATTAGTTTGACTATTCGATGTACTTGCCCTATGGTTGAATGTCTTCCTCTAAACCCAAACTGATGGTCAGGAATAATTTTGTTTTCATCTATTGTTGGTGTTAGTCTGTCGAGGAGTAGTTTTTCAAATACTTTTGAGAGCACTGGTAGGAGGCTGATTGGTCTGTAAGAGGTGACAACTTCAGGTGGTTTTCCTGGCTTGGGTATCACAATGATTTTTGAGTACTTCTGTTTTGTTTTTTGTGGTTGCAGACAACCGAGCTGGTTATAAAGATGTCCAAGACGTCTGGTATTTTTCCTAGGTCAGTTGGCCAGTATGTTGGTGATCCTGTACTCAGAAAATCGTAGTTGTTGTTTCCTATTGTTTCTAGTAGTTGTCTACCTCGTATAGTGGTCAATCTTGAGCCCCAGTAGTGGTGCTTTGCGTTGTAGTCCCCTCCAGCTAGAAATCTGTGTCCTAGTGTTTGGAAAAAATTGTTAAAGTTTTCCGTAGTAATTTTGTGTTTTGGGGGACAATATATCGCTGCCAGTGCAAGCGGGCCAAGCCAGTCTTTGATGACGACGCTGGTTGCTTGCAACTGCTCAGTTGCATATTTTGGTAGCTCGTGATGTGAGAGCGTTTGACGAACCAGTACAGCTGCACCGCCGTGTGCCGTTCCATCTGGATGTTTGGTGTCATACGTTATATATCCTGGAATTTTAAAATGGTTTTGATCTGTGAAGTGAGTTTCAGAGACTAGCAGTACATCGATTTTATTTATTTCTAGAAATGTTTGAACTTCTTGGCGGTGTTGGGTCAGTCCGTTCGCGTTCCAAAGGGCTATGTGGTATAAAAAGTTCATTTTTTATTGCTAAGGCTTGCTAATACTGTTGTGAGTAGGTTGGTCATTGTAGATAATAGTTCAGTTTGTTTTGTCATTATTGCTTTCAAGTCGTCGTAGGACTTTTGTATTATATTGATAATGTGAGTATCGCTCTGAGTTGTCTGGGTATTATTACCGACTATGTTTGCATAGGTGTAGTTGTTATTGCTTGGTGTGAGTGGACTAGGTGTAGTTGTGTTTTGCTGAGGAAAGTGTTGACTAGTGGGGATAGTGTTGTTGTTGCTGGTGGTTGTATTATGGTAGCTGGAATTGAACCATCTTGGTCTGCTTGCTGGCTGTACTCTCTTTTCCAGAATTTTTTGATAGACTTCACAGCCTTTATAGTTTGCCGGGTGAGGACCCTTGCATAGAGCACAATTGGCTGGGGTGTCTCTACTTTTCTGGCATGTGGTTGTGTCGTGGTCTTCTCCACATTTTACGCACCTGAATTGTCTATTGCAGTAGGTTTTCGTATGTCCGTATATTTGACATCGTGTGCATTGGGGTACGTCATTTCTTTTTTTTGGAGGCTCTACTTGGATTTTAGCGTACAGCAGCTCCTTGAGATTGTATATTTCCTTGTTGTTAGGGCTTGGTTCAAGGTCGACAAAGAATATTGGGAGGGGATCTCGTGTTCCCTTTCTGTGAACATTTGACACATTTCTGGCTTTATGACCTACCTCTTCGAGTGCTGCTTTGATATCATCGAGAGGAACTGGTGGATGTAGTGACCTAATTACGACTCTATATGCACGGTCTTGTTTGAGTTGGTAGGTGTGGTAGTCGGCTTGCTCCTGTTTTAGTATTTTAATTATTTTTCTGTAGGCGTCGGTGGTTTTAGCCATAATTCTAACTTGTCCGTCTTTGTCAACTGTCTTGTATGTGAAGCAGTTGTTATTTACGTTTTCATTAATTTTGTTTGAAAGAGTTTGAATTATTTGTACGCCTGGTATAAATATGGGTGGGGGATTAGGTGTTTTCTTGTTTTGATTAGGTCTCTGTGTGTTTGTGTCTATGTTGTCTGGTTGTTGTGATGCCTGAATGTCTTGTGGAATGGTTGTCAATGGAAAGAAACGATTATTTTCTATTGGTGATTTTAGGTTTTCGATTTCTGTGGTACTAGACCTTTTCCTATTTTTGACTGGGCTACTTCCTCCACTAGCTATTTGCCAGCTGTTGGGAGACTTTGAATTCTGATTTTTTCTAAGTGTTATATTATAAGTATTGTTACTTGCGCTAGACGTTGTGCTACTTTGTGTTCCCTGCTGGGATAGTTGATCTTCTCCAGTTGACTCGAGCTCCATATCTTGTAGCTCCATTGCTTCAGTTGTAGGTGGATAGCCAGTCCAGGGAACTGGTGCACTAGCTTTGCTGTTTTCGATTAGAAATTGAGGCGTCGATTCGGTATTCACTTTGAATTGTAAACTACACTGAATCGTAAACACGTCTGTACTCAACGAGTGTCACGTCGAGAATCAAATTCCACTACATGAGTATAGATCCAGTAGTATTTGAAAGTGAAAATAAACCATTTAGTAAAATTCGCGATCCCGTCGTTTTAATATGGTCTTTAGACCTTGACGAGTCCATTTATTACGCAAACTATATAAAAGAAAATTTCGATTTATCAAGTATCGATCCCGCTCTTAACGGAGCTCTAGAACTACGTAATAAAACAGTCATTTTTTCTAATTTTTCCAAAGAACTTACATCATGACAAGTTGGAATATAAACATTTATTTGAAAGTCTTAAATGTCTAAAGAAAATATTCAATAATAAAACTTTCATATGAGTTCCACCCTGTAAAGATATAAATATTAAATCAACTTTGTTAAATGAAATGATCAAATTCTTATTCCCTAATTATGACATAAAAATTTATTATACAACGAGAGTTACTCCAAAAAACGAAGTCGAGAAAAATCAAATATTGCAAGAATTCCACGATAGCAAACTGGCAGGACATCATGGTTTTAATAAAACTTATAATAATATTAAAGAAAGATACTATTGGCAAAACATGAAGTCTGATATTAGGAGATACATAAAAAATTGTCACTCATGTCTGTTAAGCAAAACAAACTTCAAACCAACTAAACAGCCAATGCAAATTACAACCACATTCGATAAACCATTTGAACGATTAGCCATTAATATAGTAGGACCACTACCCCCCACAGAATCTGGCAACAAATTTATTTTAACTGCCTAAGACGACTTCACAAAGTATACTTTCGCTTGCTGTATCCATAATCACGAAGCATTAACTGTCGCAAAAGTATTGACAAACATATTTACTAGTTTTGGCATTCCTAAATCTATTCTTTCAGATCAAGGAACAGATTTTATATCTAACCTTGTGAAAGAACTTAGCAATTTATTTAAGACCAAACACATATCAACAACAGTATAGCCCAAAAAGAGGGGGCTGTTTTTGATGAGATTTTACGATTTTTCGTGCATATCAACTAAAAGAGATGACTAAAAACGAGCAGATTCCTGTGACTTCATCCGTGAATAAGCTATATCCAAAAACCTGTTGCTGTAAGTGAGCAACTTTGTTTCAGTAGAGAAAAAAATTTCCCGTTAAATGAACAATTATGCAGGTACTTTAAAAATTGAATTGCAGTTAGTCATGGATCTTATCAATTTTACTCGACTCAATGAATATTTCCTATTTACCTTCTTTCTTCGTACCAGCTGTGAAGCATTTTCTTAGGCCATAAATCCAAGCAAAATTAATTATATATGTAATATACTTCAAACAGTTAGAGAAAATTTTTTATTATTTTTATTATATTTAAAGAAAAAAAAGAACAAGCAAACAAAATGTATGAGCTTTCAAGGAGTAATTACAAATTTTACGTATTGATTATTTTAAACTTGTCATTGTTTGTTGTGAAAATAATTCTGTTTGAACTGCACACAAAAACATTGGAACGCTATGTTGTGTTTTCAGATGACGATCAATAAGTGGTTCCAAAGTTGCAGAAAATTCTGTTTCAAGTAAATCTACACCTTCAGCTACTTGAAAAAATAAGAAATCATCTGGTGACTCCGCATACTGACTTGATAATTTATATCGTCCTTCTTTAGTTCGGTCTACTCTCCAACCAAATAACTGGTAGCATGCTTGGCGGTATTCTTGAGATGACGTTTTAAACGCATCTTTCAGTCGAGTAATCTTGATATCATAAATTTGTTTAACTTCAGAAACTTCTGTAAAAAAAATTTGAATGATAAATTGTAAATTATTTCTCAATAACATTGTCAAAAAATTATTAGTTTCCATTGATATAACTGAAATATATTTTCAAAGCATATACCCTGACATTGAGATGTCACGTTGATAGGCCCCAAATTTTCTGATTGAACATATTGACGAAGTTTTTCAATTTCTTGTTGAAGTTTGTGCATTTTTTCTTGAGCTTGCTGGTTTGCTAAAGCAGCCGGATTATGTTTTAAATGTAAAACTCTGGATTTACAATTGAAATCGCCCTTCAATACTCGGTGTTCCAATTCTCTTCGTAATATTTCTATTTCTTCACGTAACTGTTGACATTCTTCTCGTGATGTTACTGTACCATAAGTATCTAAATCCGCTTCGAGTTTCGATACCAAATCTCTAGAAAGATTATTAATATATTTAAATACGAATAACATATGGAATAAATTAGAAAAATCAATATTATAAATTACCTATAACCTTCAAGTGCTCGTTCTAAAGCTATGACGCGCCCTTGTAAGATATTGTTACTGTCAATAGCTATTTCTTTTTCATACATTTCTACTTGTTGTCGATAATTGTCACGCTCCTTCGTGATTAATATAATTTTTTTCTGCAATCTATTTATAAGAACATTCAATTTTTCATTTGAAGATTCTATTTGAGCTGCATTTATTTTCGTTGCTTCAAAATTTTGGCATAATGCTTGATATTCACGTTGCATAGACTCTAACTGCGAACGTAGTAGACCTTCTTCAGCAGTAAGAACAATTTCGGCTTGTTGTAATCGATGAATTTCTTTTTTCAGTGTAACTGGCCCATTTGCAATATTTATGGAATTATATTCATTCAATATTTTCGATAATTGATTATATTCTACTTCTAAAAATGCTAAACGTTGTTCAATTTGTTCTGTATGCTCTAACCTTTGTTTTATGTTTGACATTTGTTCTTCAAGAAGTAATTTTCCTTTAATTGATTCACGCATTGATTCTATTGTTTCTTTAGCTGTATTCAAATCTTTTTCTAAATCATTGGCACGTGAAGTTTCAGAATATAATAATTTCTTTTCTTGCCATAAATCACGTTCGGATTTGAGTGTTTCTATTTCAAGTTTCAAATTTTGATTTTCAACTTTCTGCAATTCTAATTCTTGTTGAAGTTTATGAGACTCTCTAAATTTTTGCTCTAAATTTTGAATTCGTTTTCGAGCTAATTCTAACTGAATATTATAACTAGAAATATCTCCTTGAGGTATACTTGACGATGTACAAGATTTCGGTTCATTTAGTTTTTTAATATTCTCCAAAAGCTTTTCTTTTTCTCGTTTTAATGAACTGATTTCGTTTTCTAATTTTTGTTGTATCTATAAAATAACAAAAAAATATTAATAATATTTCTTTTCATTATCAATCACGGGAATGTTTTTTTATTACCAAGGATCTTTCATTTTCAGCTATTGCTTGAGCTGTTTGAGCTTCTTGAACGCATTTTCTTGTGGACTCGAGGCGTAATTCTAATTGCTTAATTGCTTGTTTGTCTAATTCAGCTCGCATTTCTAATAAATTTTTTTCTTTTTGAAAAACTTCTTCCATTTGTCTCCTTAGATGATGTAATTGTTGTACGTTAGCTTCTTGATGTAACAATTGAGTTTTCAGTGAAACGACCTATCAATAAATAATCATAATGAAATAAATCATGTTCACAAATATTTTAATAAAAAGAGAATTTGTAAATGTATTGGTAAAAGTACAAAGTTTTCTTAGTGAATTTATTAGAAATATGGTTAAATTTATCATGAAAATTATAACAACGTACAAAATATTGTTTGGAATAAAATTTCATACTTCGCCTCTCAAACGTCTCCATTCCCATGGACTTCCGGGTGCAGATTCAGAGTCGATAAAACTCATTTTTTCATCAATACTGTCTACTTTCTTTCGTTTCGGTGGAGTATTTTTATCTGCATTAAGAAAAAAAAGACAATGTATATGTATTCTTAAGTAATGCAGAAAATTTCAATAACTCGAATTTTAAAATTATCACCTTCCATAAATGAAATGGGTGAAGATACTTTTGTTCTAGAATACTGTGAAGGAAGACTGTTGTAACAAAGGTGACTATTAGTGCTCGATTTTAATTCATTTAACATTTTTAAAACTGTAGTTGGATCTTCATTGCTCATCTGTTGAAACAAAAATACACAATAAATAACTAAAATGTATCATTCTAAAAATGAATGTCAAAGTCTAAATAGAGTCAAACATCCAGAAATCATTTTTATTTACTCAGTAATACTTACTGCTGTATTGGAGAATTACATTTATATTATAATAAAACGATAAAAAACGTTCGATTTCAAGTTGATCTAGATACAGTAGAACCAAGAAAAGAGTGGTCTCGATTTGGTATCTAATATCACGTCCCCATAAAATTTTATTAGGAGGCGGGAGATTAGACACCAAATCGAGACCACTCTTTTCTTGGTTCTACTATAGTAAGGCCCGAGTTCACCATTAGCAGAGAGAAGACTTATTTTTAAGTCTTCTCTCTGCCATTAGTAAACTGCTAATCATAGCTGCCAACTTCTGCCAAACACTGGTACCAACCCAAATAAATTAACAATTAAAGAACCCGATCATAACATACATAACCTAAAATTTGTTATAAAAAAAGTAATGCAAAGTTATTGTGCAATTCGTGTAAATAGGTAATTATAAATTAATGAAGCCGAGTGTATATTCTATCCTCTATCTTCCTCGGAACAGATGATTTGTAAATTTCTTGGTGCCCACAGGCTCCTTTTTTTAGTGTATCCCTGAAAATTACCATTTTTCAAACGATTCCCCTGTTACCTACTCGATTACAATTGACATCAAGCTTCGGCCTTCCGCCGCACAACGCGAGGGCGTAAAGTTAACTTCGGGAAATTTTTTGACTTCAGCCCAGCCGAGTGTATGGTACAATACCGGACATAAATGCTGTTCAATTTTTTGACGGTTATACATGCAATTTCCCTATACTGTCTTATAGAAAATCACACAGCATTTATGTCCAGTACTGTACTCCAATAATTTTATTGGAAATGCAATAATTTTTCGACCCTATAGGAAGCTATAGCCAGAAAAAAGAAATAATATAGAAGAACCGCCGCATGGTGATCCGTTGAATGAATTCTTGGGTATACATATGGCATTTTAACATTTGCTTTGTATCCCCAGCCATATAATAGCAGGTAAAAATTACCGTCCAACAGCTCTTATTGGGATGGTTCTTCTATATATTATCTCTCTTTTCTCTGCTATAGCTCAAAAATATCTTTTCGCGGACCTGCCGACACTGAATGGTCAAAATGTCTGTTCCCATGTGTCCCGTGTATGTCTTAACCAAAAAAAAAGAAAAAAATTATCAAAAAAAATATTAAGAATACGAAATTCGAATATATTTACAATAAATTCTCAAACTATTTATAAATAATAATTATACGTATTTTTACTACCTCAATGATAGACGCTTTGGATTTCAAAAATTATAAAACCAGTATTTTCACAATAATTGATCAATAAAAATACATAACCATGTTCAGTCGCATGATAAGTTCAAATCTTCGAGGAATCTCGGTATGTAATTAACACATAATTATACGTAATTAATTTTCCAAATACTTAAAATGACGATATTACCAAATATTTGTAAAAATTACTTTGATACGGCTACTAATTATTAATTCATAAATAGCTTATATTTATGGGTTGCAGTAATTACATTTGAGTTAGATATAATTCAATTTCCATTCATTATTGATTAAAATTTAATAATAATGTTTTTAATTGTAATTAAAGGAATTAAATTAAAACTTTATAGCTTTTATCGAAGGTATGGAGTGGGCAATCAAATGTTTTAGCTGGAAAACAAGCCGAAGAAAAAATGACAACTATTTTGAAGAATAAATTTCCAAATGCTGAAATTATAGAAGTAACAGATATATCAGGTAAAAGTTTAAGCAATTTCACTATCTTTTTATCATCATATTTTTTAATGTGAATAACATGTAACTAATTTTATAGGAGGATGTGGAGCAATGTTTGAAGTCAATGTTATAGCTTCAGAATTTAAAGGTCTGAATACTGTAAAACAGCACAGGCTTATCAATGATGTAAGAAGTTATTTCTTTATGATTTGATTATTTCATTTTTGGGAACGGCAATCAATTAATTATATATATATATATATAATATTAATGTACATCTGGTTTCAGTGTCTTAAGGAAGAAATAAAAGATATGCATGGAATACGAATCCATACCGGAGTACCATTTAGTAAATGAATTATAAACTTTCATTAGCTGTATCATTTCACAATCTCATGTATCATTTGAACATACAGATCAAGAAATAAGTGGTTTCTAAAAAACTTATATTTAGTTGTACTACTTTATTAATAGTGAGTATAAATTGTTTACCAATATTCAATTATAAAGAATCAACTTGTATTTATGTTTGAAAGCCATAAAGTCACACAGATATGTTTTTTAAATTTTAATGGAAAATGTAATTGATCTTTAGGTTAGACTTATAATGACCTCAACTATTCCTAAATATATTTTAATATTTCAATTAAATACTTGAATACTTCTAAAAATATGATTAAATTTATGTAAGATTTTCAGATATTTTTTTATTTGGTTAATATTCATTTGCACAATTAATTGAAATGTGAGAAATAAAAATTAATCATAGGAATTTCATTATGTGATAGTAATGAATGAACTGAAGTTTTTTTTATTGTTTTTAACTTTTTCATAAAAAAGATTCACTTCCCATAAATGACAAAAACTGTCCTAGAATCGTTGATAAGCAATATAGACCGACAAATCTTATCTAAATACCAATAAAGATATGAATCACCTTCACAATATACTGTAGAATCAGAACAAAGGCGTGCTTTTTGTATCATAATTATAAAAATAGCATTAGAAAAAAATTTAATCGAACAACTAATAACGTACCATATCAGAGTTTTTTTTTGTTGTATATATTTACACCTGATCATTTTATGATTTTTATAACAACCTTGATTATGTGTAAACTTTAATGTCATGTAATACTTTTATTGTCGTAAAAAATTATAATCATGTCATAAGGCCATCACAGAGAATCATCATCAATTGCATGCTAGATAAATTAACGAGGAAATAAAGTAGGTAGCTCGAAGCGTCAACGTTTTAAATTGTCACTGGCTTGCTATACAGTAGGTATAGAACAGTTGAATTGTTTTATATTGGAGACAGTTAACCGTGTAATTACGTGCCTGAAAGAATGTCTTCTAAAAATACTGAAAAAGAGTAAGTTTTTTTCCAAATTCGAATAATAATATTAACAACATATATCATATTTTCACCAAAACATTTAATCTTTCAACATGTTTATTTAACATGAATTTTTATGTTCAAATAAAGAAACTATTTGTTCAATGTTAGATTTATAATTTATTTAACGTAAAAAAATTGAGGAATTCAAAAATTTGAACCTGTTAATTGATTTGTCTTCAAATTCTATCTTATTAATATGCATTGGTATAGAAAATAACATGTTAGCTTACAAAAAATTTTATAATTTTTTGTTTTATAACATTTTTGTTTTAATAATTCCTGCGCAAAAAAGAATGAAGTTCCCATTTATAACATAATTGAGGAGTTTATAACAGATAATTATACTAATTACAGACGTCACGGCAATCGGCAAAGTGCAATGAACTTATTCCGTCTGCAGAGACAGCAGTTGCGAATAATTTCCTTGTCTCATTTATTCATTCTTATGAATAAACAGTACCTTAAATTTTTTGTACAATTTCACGCTCAATCGACTTTTATACTAACGCATTTTTTGGTTTATTGAAGTTAAAACTTGACATTAATTGCCTTCGAGAAATTAAATAATATCTCTGTGAATACATAATTATATAAATATATAGATCTAAGGTAATACTACTGACTATAAAAGATCAGTATCGAGTGCATATAAAATTCATTAGAATCGTCTAAAATACTTTGAATTAATTAATTGCGATGTTAAATTGTTTTCGGTCACGTGTTTACTACCCTCGCCTTCGGCTCGAGTTGTAATTTTACGCGTGGTTTGAGCTAGACTACTTTCCCTCCCTAGGTGTGAAATGTACTATTATTAATTGGCTGGGGAATTTGTTTGAACATGAAAATTTATAATAAAAAATTGTTTTCAATTGATTGGTCATTTTTTTATTGTTGTACCAGAAAAATATTTAAGTTATGTTAAATGTGCTCAATGACCAATCAAAGTTAAATGAAATTTCTCTGAGTAAAGTTTTGCACCAGACGTAGAGAATTACAGTTAATTCAAAAATTTTTTTTAATTTAAAAAAAAAGTAGAAAATTAAATATAATTATTTTCATTTTCTATATAATAAAATGAAATTCATCATTTTCGTAACTTATTTTTAGAACGGTCAACGATAATCAACATGACGATACTTCTCTTCTTAGTGATTTGTCAGGCAGCTTGGAAGATTTTACAAACTACTTCGAAGGTTTTAATGTTGAGTAAGTTATTAAATTTTTTAATTTTTTAATGTTATGAATAACATTGATTGCACTCAATAAGAAAATTAAGTTATATAATTATTAAAGAAAATAAGTTGTCTCTATTACTTTCTCACAAAATAAATGAATGTAAAAAATTAGAGAAAACGAAAGCAACAGTTGGTATTTTTCATCAAATTGAATACAACAAAAACAAAAAAGGTAACTAATTGAATACACTAAATAACAGATAAGTTTGCTTACTATTATTGTTATTATTTAAAAAACTAAACTTTTCTATACATAATTAGAAAAATTACTAACAGGTTTTCTGCATCATTAATGAATCAAATTAAAGTACCTTCTTAAAGTTTCTGAATCAAGAAATAACTTGTAATGTTGAACAACTTTTTTTTGTTTTTTTAAACTTGTCTATTAAATCTATTTTATCTCTTATTTATCGAGAATTGAACTTTCTTACTGTTATTCTGTGGTCTAAGCAGGTTTTAAATTATCAAGCCATCACTTTAATTTATTGTAACGATATCATCTGTAGAAATTTCAACTAGACGTGACACATGACTTCGCTTTCAATTACTCAGTAACATTTCTTCGTCATTAATTATTTACTGAGCCAAGTATTTCTATATTTATATACAATTATTTTGATCTCAAAGTAGTTCTGATTACTGAATATTTTCATGACCATTAAGTAACATTAATTAACTACAACTTAATGAAAAGTAACAGAAAAATAAAAGATGTTTATAATTACTCTAACGATGTTATTGAAAATATTGATGGTAGTTAATTAAGCTCGTTATATATTCATTATTATTTTTATAAAATTATAGTAGTCCATTATCTTGGTTGATATATTGTTTAATTATATTTATACAAAATGCATATGAAAATGAATTCTGAATAATATGTTTTTTATTTATATAATACGAAGATTTTTAAGAATTCTCGACAACAATCATTATCTTTAGTTTATTATTTTTTATTTGCATGTTAAATTTCTATTAATCACTTGGCATTGATATTTATAAAAGATTGATCGGTATAAGTATCACGAACAATCGTCAAAGCATAACGCTCTTTCACTATGGTAAATGAATTTTATTTAGTTGAAATCCTATAACATTTAAACAAGTAGCACTACTTGACCCAAGAGATCAATCAGAGTCACATAGTACACTAGAGTGGTAGGCTAGACGATGGATTGGACCGATAAATCAAATACTATGATCACTGCGTATTATGCTTGAGTGAACTTCGATGACTTTCTATACTGTTTTGATGTTTACACCGTAACGAAGAAGCTTTTAAGTCGTTTCACACTTGTTCTATATTTTTTTTTAACATTGGTTCTATAATAATAATTATCTTTATTCTTCATATTCGTTTGTTTAAAATGCAAAAACAATTTTTAAATGATTTTCAAAATTTTTCCCATACTTTAGTACGAAGTTTTGTGTTAAAAATAAAAATATTTTCTCCCGTTAGTTAAAATTTCTTGTTAGCTATTAAAAGTATGATGTCTCCTTCATGATCTAGTTTTTTCCAACGAGTTTTTATAATTACCATTTTTAATAAATTACAACTAACTTTGTCAGTATCATGGACATGAAACAGTGCGTTTTTTTCATTTTATTTCAATGGGTTTCTTATATTACTATGGTGAAATTATTAATAAACTTTGTAATATAAAATTTTATAAAATAGCATATCCATGCAAAATATTTAAATCATATATGTATTTTTATTTGTAATACATCTTTTTTAGGTATATCATGAAACCATATACATAAATTCTCACAGAAAATTTTTTAAAGTTGTTCATGATATTCCCACAAGCATGAAATGTTACAATAGACATTTATGTTAAATATGAAAAATTTGTATTGAGCTAACTGAAATTGATCATATTATCATTAATGTTTCTACCTTATTTTTTTAAGTTCAAAGTGATTTTTCATTACTATTGTTTCCAACTGATTTTCATGTATATTTATAAACTTTGTCTATATCATTCAGTTTATCAATATTCTAGAGAAATTTTACCAAACGATTTCCTTAGGATAAACTAATAGTAATTTCAATAAATCTATGAGAAATATGTTAATCATGAAGAATGTTAGTTTTATACACTCTTCGAGAGCATCTAATAATTTTCATTTGACTTGATAAATGGGACAAAATGCAAAATCGTTTTAGTATTTAATTCATGAAACTTCTTTCCAATCATCTATTATAAAAGTTTGAAATAAGACAAATCAAAACGTCACTATAATTACAAAGAAAAATTATTTCGACATATTAAAGAATGAGAAATTTCTAACAACAATAGTATACCCACCTATCACCAACTGTCAATAAATGTTCAACTTGTAAGGTGCACTTCTTGCCATGTTATGAAAAAGGTTACGATCAGAAATTGTAAATGGGAAATAAAAATGTTAACCTTTTACAATATCTACTGGGAACCTTTTAACGTGCACCATTATGTTATAGATCTCATCTCCAGCGTGGTATGAAACCTCGTGAACATAAATAACGATGTAGGAATGTAGTGAGTACTTTGTAAATATGCTAAGAGAGAAAGGATGAATACACAAGTGCATATATATATAATAGTAGAGTGTTGAAAGAAAATATATTCGTAGTCAAATAATGCTTTACCCACATTACCACTTAATACGTCAGCTTTGAGATGTATTTTTATGATTCTTACAAAAATTATTACAACTTTCTTTCACTAAAATGAAAGATATTCTCATTATTTCTAATCATTATTTAAAAATTATAAAAAAAATCACTAAATATTAAATTCAAAAATAATACAAATTGTGATTCAATTTATATTATTTAAATAAAAGTTTTATTCATTAAATCACTTAAAATGAGTATTAACTATATTTGTAGCTCATTGAAACTGGATCTGGCGCATCGATTAACCTAAGACAATAAAGTATGAAGTCGTTGACATGACAAGAATTTCAAATTACAACAGTAGCACCGTTTGCACTTCAACAGTTGTATTATCCAGTTCACAGGTGTACTTTTTTGTAACTTCTAAGAGAAAGTGTATATTCTCTCTTGTCACGATTTCCGGAGGTTTCAAAAGCCAAAGAGAGACCTTGAGTGACATAACATACCTACAAACATTGTTCACAACATTAACATTTCTGAAAAACATTCATAAAAAACACCGGAAGTACCAAATTTTAGGACGTAAACTCGTATGACATATTTCAAGTTAAGTTATATTTATCTGCGATGTTGGATAGGTGCGCGTTCTTAGTGAGGGATTTATGTGTCTGGAGCACGTGCGGAATGTTCACTTTCTTTACTTCTTTGTCATTCCAAGTCTCGCAATTAGTTGGGCTTGTGGATCATTAAAGGTTAAGATATCTCGAGGAAATCATAAAAGTACTGCAAAGTTTTTAACATTACACAAAATTATTCGTCAACTTTTTTACATCAAAAAATTTTAATATTATAATTTTGTTATCAATCAAAATTATTTTAATATTTTATGCGTAAATAGATATACTGTTAATGTATTGTTATGCTTATTACTTCAGAATTGTTTCATGTAAACTATCGGGATCTGAAGAAAAATCATTTCTCATTTGGAATGAATATATAATCGTCAAATCCTAATATTATTTTTTATTAGAAGAAGAAATTTTTTTTTCAAACTTTTTGTGATTATTCAATTGATTCAATATTATTACTTTTATTTTCACTCAAAAAATATTTGGAATTAATCACTAATTACTTTTGATGATTTTTTAATCCGTTTATATTTTAAACATTTTTTAACCAATTCAAAAAATATCAATTTTCTACTTACAATGCATAGTAATTACTTTAGAATAAGGATAAAAAAATAAACAAACCAATGATCTTTACCAAATGTAGATGTATGGAACTTTATAATTAAAATGATAATCTTTGTACATATACATATATAAATAGTTATAAAATTAAAATACTAACAGATGAAACTTAATAAATCATTATATTCTATAAAGAATTGAAAGATTTGATTATTTTATTTACAATAATAATGAATCAGTAGGTTTAAATAATGTTAAAACAAGTAGATAAGCTTTTATAAAGAATTCTAATAAGTTACCTTAATTAAACCTGAGTGATAAATTTACCAGGCGTGGCGTATGAAATACATTTTAATAGGAAATACCAACTAAGAACTGTTTAGCCTTGATGTATATGTTTAATCGGTCTTAACTTTTATATGTGCTATCTCTCCTGATAGAAAAATCATTTTCTCTTTAATTAAATTTTTTGCAAGAACTTATCAACGAATTACATTAATAATCAAACTATCTTTGTATTGAAAATAATTAATAAAAAGCAATGTATAACATCTTTCAATATTTATTAATTGTTATTTGTTTTTAGGTCAGTAGATATTTTGAATTAATTATTCAGCATTTTTCAAATTACACACTGTTGATAATAAAATAGTGATGCAAAAATGTTTTCATAACTTTTCATCGAATTTTTTACCTTCAAATCTATACAAAATAAATTTTTTTTATTATTTATCTAAATACTATGAAGAATTTCATAATTCCATGTTCAAATTTACCGCAATATTATTGCACCCCTAATGCTTACCATCTCCCTGCTTCTACATTCCTACCCTCTATCACATCGATCGTAGCTCATACTCCCACTCAAGTCGCTCTGAGACTCGCAAACTCACCACTTGTGCCTTGACTCTCGCGTCTCGATTCCATTCCTTTTCCAACGATCGCCGGAACGACGTGTTGAAAATTCAATTATTGTTTCAATTTTTACAATTATACAGTATCAGTCAGAAATTATTTTAACTTGATTGATCCATTATTTGACTCAACTAAGTGATATTATTTCATTCTACAGATGTAAAATATTATTGTCACCGTCACTGAAAGGTTTTATTTTGAATGCGTAAATTTTACCAAAGTGTGTATATCTCATGAAGCATTAAAGTGATTTTTATTTAATTGGAGTGTGTGATTAGCAATGAAAATTTTTACACATGGTGTTTACATTGATAAATTTTTTTCGTAAACATTAAGCATTAATTTAGACATCTGGAACCCATTTCCTTAATAATTTTGTCACAAGCTAAATTCACTAGTGAATAATGTAAATGTGTTAATTAGTATGTGTAACACTTGTAATCACTAAAAAAAACAATGATAAATTTATTAACACCGTGTAAAGCGTGAGTGTCAATGTGATCCAAATATTAGCATAGTGTATCAATGTCATTGCATCTTTTTAAGGTTTTATACACAAAACTGAAATATTATTGAATCTGCAGAAACAGTTGAATTGTATACACTCATTCAATGATAATTCAATTTATCAAATATATTGTAAACCATGAAACGAACTACTAGAAAAAATGTCGAAGATGTTTATGTCAAGTTGTGACCTCGATCTTGAGGTTGATCGCTAATAGCTCCATAGGAAAGTAAGTTTTGTTGACATATAGAACCTTACAGGCTTCATTTATCAAGAGAAAGGTATTAAAAATTTATGTAAACAGTACAATTAAAACAGATTTTTGGTTCAAATTTCATCAACACTTGGAAATTTTTAGATTAAAAAACTACTTATTACTTTTAACTCCAAAATATAACAAACTTTGAAAATAAAATTCAATTGCAAAAAAGAAATAAAGGAAATAAAGAAAAGTCTAGAATTTTATCGATCGTCACAACTACTTAATACAGGGACGCCTTCATTACAAAAAGAAGATGGGATCTTACAGACACGTGTGAATGATTTCTTTGTGGATTGTAGTTATCTGATGTCTATAGTGTTTATTTAAAGAGGGTAGTGATTCGCATATGCAGTAGAAGACGTCACGATACACAAGGGCAAAATAAAATCGATTACCGTCAAGTTTGCTGCATCATAAAAGTACAATGACCTCCAAAACGGGAAGGGCTTATTCGGTGAGGTAAGCATTTGTACTAAAAAATAATTTATTTCATAAAGAATAGTATTTAATGATTGTATGATAATTAATAAAAACATTATTAATACATCGATAATTCAAATTAAGATGTTAATAATCTTAAGTACTCTAATTATCCTAATCAGGTACAGTTGATTTAAGCTACTAGGGTAGTTTTACATTCATCTTGTTAATTAAACATATAGCAAAATATTTTTTTGTTAAGTGTACTTGTCGATATTAAAATGATCAGTTGTTGATACATATTTATACATGCGCTATTTTAAACTATAATCACTTTAAGTAGTTATGGTATAATTATTACTATAACTTGTAACATTATCTGAACCTTAATCAATCATATTATGTATATTTTTACTTTATGTAAAATATACCCTATATTTAATGGCTCGCAATATTTGTCAAGAATCGTATTTATATTTTTAATTGATTTCATCATTTCCAACTTTAAAAAAAAGTGTCTTCTTATGACTTGTTATTTATGTTGAAATTAGTATTCCTCAATTGAATGCTTATAAATCACCATAAGAAAAACAAATAGGTTAGAATTCGGAAAAATTTATAGTGTTTCTTTGACAACAATTAACTTAATTAGTTACGATCTTTAACAACACTTAACGGTTTTGCTCGAAAAAATATCCACCTACAAGTTACTAACTGATTACAAATATAGCTTTTTATAATATCCGTTGAATAGGTAGTAGTTAATACATTTTTCCAACAGAATGATATGCCATGACAATAAGCTGTAATAATAATTGTTCTAGAAATTTCGAAATATCAAATGATTCTCTTATCACTAACAAATATATAATTCTTAGGCTCAAGTTTCTTGTAGACACATTTGATATTTATTACGTAAATTTATTTGCATTTCGTAATGTAGAATTTATAACATGGATTGAAGTTACTGTGTGTCTCACAACTGGTGATCGATACCATCGATGCCTGAACTGAGGACATAATAATGAATTGAAACAATAATAATATTAATAAAAAAGAAAATAACAAATTCATATAGGCACTTGAAAAAATAATAAGAAGATAAATTTTCACATAATTACATTGAATTTTTGAAAGTTTACACATTAAAAAAATTTTTTTTTACAAATGAAAAATAATCTAGTTTATTCCTACTTTTTTACTTGATTCATTTTTTAGCTGAATATAAAAGTACATTGCAAATACCTAAGTTGTAAACTTAATTTTTTGACTGAATTGTTGAACTGTAATAAAAAAATATATAAACAAAATTGATCTAGGTTGAGAACAAGTCTACAACTTGGGTCAAACTAATATTAGTTTGCAATGTACTTTTATATTCAACTAAAAAATACATACATATGTTTTGCTTACGTATCATTTTTTAAAGTACTTCAAAGTCAATATTTTTGTTTACACAACGTCTCTACAGTAAAAGAAGTAGCTTTGAGAATTTTATCAGTCATGACAATTAATTATAGATATACTGACAATCGTTTCCATCTTCATTAAATTGTCAATTTAAAAGTGATGTGTTGATTATAATATAGCGAAAAAATCAAGTTATTAACGGTTAGTTAAATATTCAAAAGAATTTTGAAATTACTTTGTTTTTATGTAACTAATGGCAAACAGCCTTGAACTTAACCTCAGTTGATGTTAGAATTTTCCTGGCATTCATTTCTCATCAGAATGTTTTAACTGTGCAACCTTAACAATCAATAAAGCTGTGCAAATTTACATTATTCTATCATGAAATTGTTTACTATTACTGTACACGGAGAGAATTTTTTCACTAAATGTAAGTGCAAAGAGTGACAAGTCCACGTTTCGAAATTTATAAGTAAAAATATTTCTGTTCAACAGTGAATTTTGGGTTATTATCAGTAATTATTTCACTAAGACAACTTTTAAGTATCAAGCTTACTTACGACAACTCAAAGTTTACTATCGAAAAGAAATATTTTTACTTATAAATTTCGAAACGTGGACTTGTCACTCTTTGCACTTACATTTAGTGAAAAAATTCTCTCAGTGTAGACATCATTTTTTTCGAAAAAAAAATAACATAGAACGTTTGGAAGATCTCGAATAAGGTTAAAAGATGAATTTACCTTCATTCTCTAATGTACTCTTTAAGTTATAATAAAATTTAATATCTATATCTAAAGTTATAATTGTTCTACATCTATTTTAAAATCAACATTAAAAATAACTAATTCGATAGAGTCATTATCACCTAGCAAAAAACCTACCATAATTCGAGTGCCAAAACATTATTAACATATCAAAATTAGTTTCTGCCATTTACAAGTATTGAATTTAAACTACAAAAAGCATTTTCAATCATTAAGTATTTGGTTATTTATAATAAATAATTCGTCTGTTACGTCTCAGTAACTAAATAGTCTCTTTTTCGCGTCAAGACCCAATCATCCTCTACTCACCATGGGTGCGGAGACCACGCAGAATATACTTTAGATGGAGAATTAAAGAAATAGGAAAGGTTCTTAGTGCTTTACAAACCACACTGGTGCATTTATTTTTCTCAAAGAAAGATAGAGATTTGTTTTTATGATAGTCAATTCTTTATTTAATTTCTGTCATCTTTTTACTCACTAAATTGTTTTACAGCTTGGCTAACAGGTAGCTAGGTAGCAGAAGGTTGTATACGCGTGGAAGGCTGCAGTTGCTTGGTTTGGTTGACGCTTCGAGTGTCAAGAGAGACAAGAGAGTGTCTCTTGTGTCCAAGTCCGCGCTTTTTAAGGTGCTTTTCGCGCATTCTTTGGAAGCTTCTAGATTGGCGTTCCCCAATTTAATTATTTAGACCTAGCCCTAATTTCCTCCAATCATCTACGAAATTTTTCCCTTCTCCTTTTGATTAGTGTCCGGCGCATCTTTTGGCTCTATGCTCCCCCACGTAGGATTCACCTGTGCTTACTTAGCATGCGCCTCGAAGCTCTATGTCCCCCACATGAGTTTTACCTGAGCTGTCTTTGCGTAGATCCTTTTCCTGGCGTCTCTATTTTTTTATTACTAATTTTTTTTTAGTTTTCTTTACCTGCTTACTTTCCCTTTTTTTCTGTGTTCCTGATACTTCTATTCCTTTGCTTCCACCGTTTTCTTGTTAAAGTTTTTATTAATATAAAAAAAAATACTTAGATCCAGGTTATAACATCGTCTATAATTAATTATCACGAAATTTTAAATAATTTTTTTACTAAAAATAAATAATAGAAATTGAAGTGGAACTCTATTTATATAAAAATTTCAATTACCTTTGATAGCAGTAACTTGTATCAGAAAGAGAAGTCCTTTTATTCGTTAAAATACAATGAATTTTCAACGTAATACACATTTTACAATATCATATTATATCATATATATGTATATATATATGTACATGTTGTCATGAAGCATAACGAAAAATCTGAATATATTTTTGGTATTTTATTTGGCATTTTTTTGACAAAAGTAATAATGATAATAATGTGAATATATATTCTTTAAGACATATTGTTATTTAAACGAATCTAGACCTTTTTACAAGATAATAATACTAACAATAGAGTTACATAACTGAATAATTAACAATCATTCAGACGTATGGAAAGAAGTATAAATACAATCTTACGAATGTGTAGTCTCATTGAAGCATAAACTAAGTATTACAAATTATTAACCTAAAATTATGTAAACGAAGGAATTGAAAATTATTCATGTGTAAAAATTACCAAAAAATATTTATCGGCCAAATATATGTCATAACTCATCACCATTCAAGGTTAGTTACATAAACAATTAGTCTGGTTAATTTTTAAAGAAAGTTTGTTATTGTAAATTAGAAAATAAGATTGAGAAATGAGTTGCTCATCTTACAGATGTTAAGAGAAATGAATTAAAAATAGGTTTAATTTTCTGATTAATTTAATTCAGTTTTGGAGTAATTATTATTAAATCTATTGAATTTATGTAAAGAATTCGAAGCATCGGTTAAATATTTAAACAATTGTCTGCTATAGTTAATTTATGCTATGCATTTATAATCTTAAAGTGTAACAGATGTCATGTGATGGGCAGCAGGCTTCAATGTCAACCTAAATAGTGACATATCGTTTCTTACATAATAATTATTTTGCAGTGTTTGTTCTTGTAAAGAATTGTAAAGTCAGTTCATCCGGTTTGATTTATATAGACATATTCATACATATTTTTTTTCGATTTCAATTCAAGTTAAGTATTTCCAGCAATCTCACGACCTCGAGATTCAAATGGCAACGTATAGAGTTATAATTTTTCAATTTCTCTCTTTTACTATGATGAATTGCCATTAAACCTGATTAACTTTCATTAAATAAATTTTAGATACTTGTAATGCATTAAATTTAATGAAAAATATTAAAATAACACTGAAATTAGTTTTTTTCGTCATATTGTTGATTAAAAAAAAATAATTTACTTTTTGTATAAAGATAGATACTTAATATAAATTATTTTTTGTATCATTTAATCTCTTTGATGTCCAACGAAGTAAAAAAAAGTGTAGTTATTAGATAGTAGATAGTAAAATAATCATCAATGAAGTCGAGTGCAGCCAAGAAACTGCTATCGAATAAGTAGCAATAGGGTTTCTTCTTTGTCTGGAGTGAAAAATAACTGCGTTATGGTTAATTGACTTCAAAGTTGCAACGTCAGAGAAACGAGCACGTGTTTAAACCGGCAACTGACAGCACGTGAGCGTGCACGTGTATATGCAGACGCTTTTATTTTGCTACCCACTGCTCTTCTCACAACAAGTATAGCTGAAGATGCCGCTTGTTCCAGAGCACTGATCCCGGTCAACCGGAATAGCGGTACTCACTTGGCCGCACACGAACTGGTTACTCTCGCATACACTTCGTGCTTTGTACGACCACAGATTGTCCTCGAGAGTTTTTCGCTGCTACAATTGTGTCAGGAATGCCTTCATAGACTAAAAAAAAATTTCGAAACTATCAAAAATATTGAGAAAAACTTTTTATTTGTTTGTATAAATCTTTAATCAATAATAATTTAAAAGTTAATATTAACATCGTTTTCGATCTAATCAAAAGTGCTTAAAAGAGTCTGAGATGACTTTTAAATAATTCAAGTAATACTTCAAAATTTGATGAGTTTAACTAATGGATAGACGTGATATGCAATGTTAAAGATTCACTGAGTAAAGGTTTATGGCTAGAGTAACGGCTAATTGGCCCTCTCTCTCTACAAACCAAAGAACATTCTCTTGCTGTCGAGTCCTGTCAGTCGCGTTTATTCTATCGGACAGTGCAGTACGTACTTGTTATTCCGCTTTAATATATCAATAAATTTGAATAAATAAATAAATACATAACTTTCGAATGATTAAATATTCAAAGAGAAAATTTATTTAATACATAATAATAAGTATCTAAAATATTTTTTTATGTTGATGTCAAAAAGTAAAATCAAAATGAATAATCGTACAACTAAAATATAATTGTTAATAGTTGTGATATGAATATTTATCAAAAATATTAAATAATATGTATAATTGAATTAACTCTTGCTATATCTATCATCTGAGAAAAACATTCGTGATTAGTGAAATCGAGTAAGGAATAATATTCGAGCAAATACAGGTATTTTATCATGGTGTTTACAAGTTACAAGTGATAAAATAAAAGTAATTGTTAACCAATAAATTAAATGTTAAAACTATTATTGAAGTTTTTCTTGCAATTTGACATTTTATTTATTTTTCCATTTTTTCTATCCACATGAACAAATAATAAAAAAAGATTTTTTATTATCTCATAGTTAGCTATCAAACTATGATATTCTTATTGTTTTATTACTTAACTAATTATTTTTTGATTATATAATGGATGGAGAATTTTTTAATGATTGATGTGAAACTGTTAAACTTTGAATTGTAAGTCGATTCAGTTACAGTGAGTTCTTACTAAGAAGTTACAAGTAAATTTCACCATAAACACAATACAATGTTTGACCTTCACAATTGGTTATAGATCTCCAAGAATAGGAGGCCCATTATCGCAGTCCCTTGCAATGATTCCACCAACAATGCATGGACATGAATTCAATCAACCCTTGTCGAGGGTCGTTATGGTCAGAAAGACTGACCAGAGAACATTCAGTAAAGGTAGAAGAGGCGGAGAACCTCTATTAGAAACTGTAACACGTGAAACTGTAGAGTTATTCAACGGTGGACGTGCTGAAAGGAAATACACTTCAGAAACAAGGGATATAGTAACACCAAAGTCGAGTAGGTAAGATGCTCGTTTGAATAATTCTACCAATATTTGACATACTATATAATTTCTTTTAATATTTAACAAAAATCACTAAAGTTGAAAGAAACTTTTTTAGAAACTTTCAATGCTTTCATAACGTACATAAAATAATTATTACAATGATTTCCAACTGTTTGATTAAAATAAAATAAAATATTAACAGCTTGTGTATAAAAGATATTTAACTTATTTGATAATCATACTGCAAAATCTAACAGATGGTTCATCATAATCTACAACTGTTGGTAAACATGCTTGTGTATTCATTTATTATCGAAAAAAAATATTTATTGACTGTTTAAAATGATGTTATGCATAAATAAGTTTATTATATTTTTGATATAATTATTTAATTATCGTAGCAAATAAATAGAAAAAAGTATTTTAAAGATCATTTAAGAATGTTTAAATATAATGGATAATATTATGATGCGCAAAAAGTATACTTATTGTCAAGTTACCGTTGTTTTAATAATATATTATTTTTCTCACGGAAGCCTATCTCAGTTGTTCCGCTTCACTAGATATCTTCTCAACATCAACTTTTATCGATTAAAAAAAATATTTAACTTTCCATTTTCTTTATCCACTGATAAGTTGTTTAATCTCAACGTTTTCGATGATTAATTAATGATAAATTAGTTTTAATTTATATAATCTTATAATTTCAATCAAGTAATATAGCAATCTAAAGTTTTCCTGGCATCGTGTGTCATTTTGGGATTGTTTAGAGAAAAAATTGTTTCGTTATCGGCTTGACTAACAATTATTGTCGTTAGTTCGTAGGTATGTTCTGTATGAAATACAGTTGAGTATACACCGTAATACATTACTCTTGTAGTATGCCATCACTGAACGTAAACAGGACCAAAAAGAAGGTGGTTGCCTTTGTTGATCAACTTGAAAGGTATTAATTATGTTACAAACTGCGTTCATACAGTTTTAGAAGAAATCACCTTCATTTTTCATCACACCAGATATTTTTATATTTCTTAGATGCCTATTACATCCGTGCTATCTTAGTAGATCTAGATAGAAATTAATCAAACGAGTTACATTGATTAAATAGTAAAACTCATGAAAGAAACTTATTATATAGATAATCAAGTATTTTAATCTATGATATAATATTGGAATTTTCATTTTTCAGCTTTCGCCATTTTTTTGGATCAATTAATATTTATTATTGTAATTGATCTGTCATTCAAAATGATTAAAAAAAAACACAAATCATGTTAATTAATATCAAAATTTGATTGTGTTTTAAGTTATCGATGAGAAAGAAAAATATCTTTATCTCTTGTCTATTTGAATTGATAATTTTCATAACAATTTATTATTATCATATAATAGTTATTTTACTATAATTTCATTTGATCAACTTCTCAATAAAATCAACACACTCTAAAAAATAATAGTTGAATCCCATAGTTGGATTTACAATTCTGTGTTAATTTCTCGTTTGACAGAAAATAGTTAAGTCCTTTTCGAACTATTAATAGTAAATCCAACTATATATTTCCCTCAGTGTATATAACTGAAATAAATTTTTAAAATTATTCAATTGTTAAAAAAATTACAAAAAGTAAAAGAAAATTTTTCAAGACATTTATGAATTTAATTCTTACAGATCAAGAGAAAATTCTGTACGATCAAAATCACCATTAACTGCATCTCCAGCCTCACCTGGGCCTTTATCCAGTTCACTTCACGGTAGTTTTCATGGAAGCCTTGGAAGCGATGGAATGTCTTGTAGTAGTGCGAGATCATCCTCAGCTTCTCCCGATTCAGCTCGTTATTCATCCTCTCAGGTGATTGCTAAGAATAATCTTTTGATTCCAAATCATTTCAAATTTAAATTGAAAAAACTAGTTCAAAAGGATCGTGGAAAGTTGTATAGATAGTTATAAAGCTAGAGAAAAAAAATAGAAAGGAAGAGGAAACTCAAAAGAATGAGAACGAGACGGCATGCTCAAGCTGCAATTGTTAAACGAGGCGAAAAAATCTCTTTTAACTTTTTTTTTAAGCCAATCGTTAAGTTATAATTATAAAAATAAATTAATAATGAGCACGTAATTCTCATATAATAATTAAAGAAAGTATTTAATGCTTTTTAGAATAGCAGTATTGTTGAGTCATTAAACATATATCATAAATAAAAATAATAACGGATGATCATGAATAAGCAGTTTTAGTCTCATATTATTATTAAATTTAAATAGAAACCGGATGATGAAAATTATTAATCGCCTCAACCGTAGATAAATTTATTTATAGATAACGTGAAGGACTACATTAATATAATAATTTAAAACAAAATTAAAAAAAAATAAATTAAAGTATTTAGTGAAATTAATCAAAGCACGATTATGACAAAGACTGGAAAAATAAATATTTAATTTATTCATACAAATTAATTGAATTACACTACTTTTTGATTTTCATTTGTTTTACGGCTGTCATTTTCTTTTTAGTCAATAGAAAAATAAACTTTTAGTGATTAATGGATTATAATTTTTCAAGATAAAAATATATTATATTATATATATATATATATATATATATATATATACAATGATGGGAAATTATTGTTATCTACCTCGGTAAGTTACAAAGTATAACACATTGATCGAAATAAATGAATAGTTTAAACTAAAATTAAAAGTGGTGAATTAAAAATGTTACATTTTAATCAAAAGATCAGTTACATTGTTAGATGTTGATAATAGTTTTAACGTCCGGATGTGACAACTCTGTCTATATCTATGTTATAGATAACAAAGACTGACACGCGTAAACCATCTGTGCGCAGATTTGGACCTGATAAAGAATTTATCAATCTGTGTTTGGAGACTCACAATTACTATAGATCCCGACATGGAGTCCCGCCACTTCGACTTAATAAACAGGTATTATATCATACTTTAATCTTCTTTATTTGCTTATTTATTGGCCAAATATTTATTTTCTATTTTCTAATTCCAAATAATAAATTACGATTTCCATAAAATGAATCTTTTTATTTATGTATTCAATGTACAATAAACAAAATGCCATTTATTTATATTTATTACAGCTTTGTAAAACGAGTCAAGACTGGGCAAACATTTTGGCAACTAAAGGGAGACTAGAACATAGAGCCAACATAGAATATGGCGAAAATTTGTATTGTATGTGGAGTTCAAATCCAAAGACAATTGTAAATGGCGATGAGCCAGTTAATGACTGGTAAGTAACTTTAAATTTAAAGTCTTCAATCAAATATTCCATATTTTCGTCTAAACATTATGAGAAATAAAGTACTTTTGTTGAATTTTAGGTATGCAGAAGAAGTGCAACATCAATATAACAGAGAACCTACAACCCTAAAAACAGGTCACTTTACGCAGGTCATATGGAGAGGCAGTACAGAACTTGGCGTTGGAATGTCTCGTAACCGCAATGGAGAAGTATACGTGGTTTGTAATTATAACCCAGCAGGAAATTTTCTCGGAAGTTTTATGGAAAATGTGTTACCACCAGCTGACAGATCACCGAGACCCTCTGTACTCAATAAAGTCAGCTTACCTTCGTCAGATATGATTGCATGGCAACAAGAAGCTTTAAATGTTCACAATGAATACAGGAGACGTCATAGAGCACCTGATCTTATACTAAATCCTGAATTAACAGCGGCTGCGAAAGTAAATATTCAAAAATAGCAGTAATTATAATACCATTTAATATGTATTCTGTCTGTAACATTAATTTTAATTATAAAATAAAAAAAATTCAGTTTTATTGTTATGTGAACATTTTAGGCATGGGCAAACAAACTGTTGAATACAAACAAATTGGTGCCTCAATCATCATCACCTTACGGCGAAAATATTTACTCCGTCCAGTGTTCTGACCCGAATCTCACAGTTTCTGCCCGTGAAGTAGTGTCAAAATGGTACTCAGAGAAAAAAGAGCATAAGTTTGGAGTTGAACCAAAAATTTTGAATACTTGTACGTATATAAAAACAAACTTTGACTTTATACCAAATGAAGTAACAATAATAGAACATAAAATAACAAAATTTTGTTAAAATTTTAGGTCACTTTACTCAAATCGTGTGGAGGAATACAAGTGAAATGGGAATAGCCATAGCTAAAAAAGACGGTACATGTATTATTGTTGCTTGTTATTACCCGAGAGGTAATATTGTTGGACAGTTTACGGAAAATGTTCTTAAATCAGTTAAAAACGTTTCATAATATTTTTATTGTGTTCTTAATATTACCGGTATATAAATTGTATTTAAATTTTTTGAATAGACTTATGTACGCATTTATGTATATAATACATACGTACCCATGCATAGAGTAAACATTCCAATAAATAATTATAATAAATATCCATGAGAAATAAATATTTATAAAAATTAATGTTAAAAATTAGGATAAAAATTCCAGTTATTGTACTTGGACAATTTTTACTTCTTTATTTGTTTCAAGCAATTTTGATTAAGACATGATGAAAAACAAATTATTATTGTATTTTTATAATTATTATTAATATCATCATCATCATCATCATCATCATCATCATCATTGTTGCTCTTGTAATTATTAAACCGTTTCATTTAAAAAATATTGTTGATTGTTTATTTAAATTTTAGTGTTATAAAATGAGAAATAAGAATACATTTTGAAAGTATCAACATATTTTTAATAACTGGCATTCTTAATTGTTAGAAATTACAAATAAACAAAAAGAATAAATTCAGAAAGAAATGACAATGCTTTGTTCTATAATTACGTTATATTTATAATAAATTTACTTCGTGTGCACGTTACGAAACGTTGAACACGAGGTATGATACACTTTTATTTTTTATATATTACATTAAATACAGCCATTCATATTTGTTTTATTATTTGTTTCACTTATCGAAAAAATAATTTAAAATATAAATTTTCATGTTTATTATTTCCAAAATAACTTTTTCAGTAAACTTTGTACATAAATGCATAAATCAAAATTCAATTAAACACAATATTATAACAAAATTATATTTTCATTAATATTTTATTTATAATGAATCATTTTTTTTTGTTTTTTGTATTTTTTTATAATTTTTCTTTATTTTTATTTAAATTAAATTGGCAGAAAATTTTATTCCTAGTCTTCAATTATGCGAAGCGTATACGTATTCACAAAATATTCAATAAGATTCGATTTTAATTTATCCTCTTACTTTATTTTTGTCTTGTAAATTTTATTCTCGATTTTTATGATATTTCAATAAATTTTCCATAGAATGATTTAATATCTTTATCTAAAGATATTGATGTATCGGTAAAATTACTAAATTAAATTGTTTATTTAATTCAATTATGACACAATTTCTATTATTAATTTTTACGAATTAAATATGAATATTTGATTCTTTTGTTTCTATAAGATAAATACCTGAGAATCGTGCAATATGTGCATAAATTTAAGTGAAAAAAATATAATCGTACTATAATAATTATACAGGTATTATTAAATTATGAATTAATTAATCGTTGAATTAACATATTTGACAAAAATTCTATTGTAGTCAAGCATTTAATAAATATTTTATATTTCTTAAACTATTCATCATCTAGAAGCAATTTATGAATATATTTCATTAACATTGTAACATTTTAATGTAAGATATTTTGATAAATAATAAATCCACTCTTAATATTCAAAATGAAATAAAATAAAAGCTACCGAGCTTTAGAATAAAATATTCATAATGTTGTTTGAAATTTATGATAATTTTAGAGGAAAAAGTTATTTAAGTTAATAGATTGTCAGAATAGAATCATTTTGTGCCCAAATAAAATTTATCAATAATTATTATTATTAATTTTTAAATATTATGATTTAATTGTACATAAATTTGTGTTCCGTGATAATTTTCGCGTATAAAAAAAATTTTAATATGAATAAATTTCTAATAATTGCTAGTCAAAAAAAAATGAATTTATTTATTTTTTAATGTATCGCACAATTTTTTATCAGATTTTTATATCTTTTTAAAATTTATCATATTTATCTGTTTTTATCCTAACCACATTTTGACAACACTTAGATAGAAAATCTTATTATTAACTACATAAATATAACCGCAATGAATATCGCAAACTCCAGGCTTGCATGATATGATACTAAAATGGTCATTTATTCATTTTATTTCTCATTCTCACCTATATTTTTTTACTTTAAATTATTTATGTTTTCCTTTAAAACGTGATGCAGCATATTGTGGCTTATTAAATAAAAATTCATACTGCATTTATTTGTTCGTCTAATTTTTTTATCTATTATTAATACTTATTAACTATTTTCATGATGTATGTATGTATTTTCAATTTAATTTCGCATGATGAACAGATGTAATAACATACGTTAAGTCATTGAAGGTTTTTTAAAAATTTATTCTACTATCTAGTCATCCAGGATACGGATTGTTACGAGCACCACCGCCCAAAACTCCCTTTTCCCGGCAAAGTGGCCTCCATGTCGGATTTCGGACCGTTCGAATTCGTTTATATACGTTTTTAACATACGCGTCTATTTTTTAGTTCCAAATGTTATAAATAACTTTTTTTACGCAATAAAAATTGAATGAGAAAAATCGAAAACAACCAATATAGTTTCTATAATCTTAATAGCCAACCAATAGCAATGCTATTTGAATAATTAATATACTCATCTTAAAGAAATGAAAAACATTGTAAGTAAATACAATATTTATAATTGTTCATACAATTTCGGCATTAATATTTGTAAAAATAAACAATAATTTTTATGCCTTAAGCATAAAAGCAAGTAATAATAATAAAGCCAAATTTCTTCCGGATCATTTCTTAAATTAATATATTTATAAAAATCAATTTAAATACGAATAATTTTTTACTGCGTAAACATTAAAAAAAAAAATGCAACCTGGAATACTTGACCCTTAATCTAGAATCTAATAACTCTGTGTGGGAACGCTACACTCGTTTATTTTTTCCTATTATTCTTACATTAGAAAGTCTGCGTCCCCACATAAGGTTATATCATACGATTGTTCCCTGAATATGTTGAGGATCTTGCGTACCAGGTGGTATACCTTGTGATTGTTGTGATGAAAATGCTCCAAGGCCTTTAGAACCTTGAAGAGATGGAGGATCATATAAACCACCAAGAGAACCTCCGAGACCAGCACCGAGAGGTCCACCACCAAGGGAAGCGCCGAGGCCAGGACTCAACGACGGCATGGAGGGTAGGCCAACATCAAGAATACCAGTATTACTCGCACCACCAACTGGTGTTCCTTCTTCTGGTGGCGTAACCTCCAACCCGATTGACCCATTCAAAGCAATTTTAATAGGATTATGATTCGATGGGTGGGACAACGCACCGAGGCCGATATCCTCCAGGCTGCTCTTTCGTCGCGTGGTTAATCCTTGTCGAAGGGAATTACTTCGCCTTAGGAGGATGTCATCTACCACGCGTAACGAATTCGAACGGCCGCGAAGACTACCGGCTACGGTGGGACTGTCCGGTAACGAGAGTGAGTTTGACTTGGTGCTACTGAGTGGTGGTGCCCTACCCAATCCAATTCCCGATCCCCGGCGACTTGTGGCACCTGACTGAACTGCTGCGCTCATTTGTGCTACTAACTGAGCTGAACAGAAACTAATGTTGCTTTTTCTTCTAGAATTATGTCGCTCGAATGTCTTCTGAGCAGAAAATGGACTAGGTCGGACTAGATAAACAATGTCTCCTTCCTCTAATTTTAAATCACAGCTTGGATTGATTATCACATAAGATAAGCTGTTTCTCTTCTCAGAAACATCATCATAATCAGCAATCGGAAGATTTAACGACTCCATTCTAGATCGTACCAAATTTGCGATTTCAGCACGCTCGATCTGCTGAGCATGATTGTCTCGAGCTTCATCAGCAAGACTCACAGAATACTAGAGACATAAAAATATTAAACTACTTAACAGCTATTAAAAATAGTTGGTTAAATGAAAAATATTGTTCTAAATACTTTCAACTGCTTACAAGAGCTGGCAATCACTCTGCAGCGCAACATTGATTAAGCATTGATAACAGGGATCAAGGAATGAGGATGATAGCGACATATGAGGATGTTCATTGAATTTAAAAATAAATAACACTTTAATAAAAATTAAAATCTAACTCAATGCATTACTCACTGATGATGTGCCTTTTTCTCGACTTCCACAATTAGCTAGGCAAGAAGCTGCTGCAGAGCGACGTATCTTGTAAATTCTCCCTACACCAGTATCGCTCTCAGCATCAGAGTCACCCTGTTAAAAGTACAAGCAGTTCTACCTTTACTATGTGTCCGATGTCTGCCAAATACTTCACACAGGCCTCTTAATTGACAGGAATCAGTGCTTTTTTATACCGTTAGAAATAAAATTATTTAAACGTTCTTTTTCTATTTATAAAAATACTTATATTACTGTTAAAAGTTGTTTACACGCTCTCTATCTTAGCACTCGTGGTGACTAATCTAAATAATTTTTTCTAATTTTCTATAACAATATGCAAGTGCATTGAAGGGGTTATAGAATCTAATAATTCAAAAAAAAAAAAAAAAAAAAAAAAAAACAAATAGGTATTGAAAATTAATTTGTTGAATTAAATGGATAAACTTACTGCTATAATGAGAGTGGAATTGTTATAAAAGATAGCAAACAATTTGTGAGAACTTGGCTATTCATTTAAATCACTATCACGATGCAGAAATCTGTTCTAGTTGAATAATAAATTCTCATACATATATTTAACTGCATTACATTCAATTGCTGATATAAATTTAAGTACATTATCTATTTGTTCTTCTGATGAGACGATGATAAGCTATGAATTCTGAATTTCAAAATATTATTGTACTCTCGATCAGTTTTTGACCAAAAGTTTTGCTTTCATATAGATATGATGAAAGTCATATGCTCTTTAGCAATAGTGAAAAATAGAAATATTAAGAACAATATCAAATGGACATAGTTCATAGTTATCTATAACTTCAATGCATTTTTCAATAAACTCTCATTTTGACTACAAATAGTATTTTATACGTCAATAAAACTTTTACGAAATTTTGTTGATGATTGAAAACGAATAATTTAAAAAAAATTTTCTTTTAATTCCCTTATTTATGTTATTATTGAATTTTACATTAATTCAATAACATAGCTACATATCATTCATTCAACAGAAACGTGAATTAAGTAATAACATAATGAACATATAATAGCATGTGAATAATTTCATTATCAAGTAGATCTTTACTTCCTACTACATTTATGTACCTGACAAACGTTGTTGATAAGTATACAGGGATGAAAGCCAACATTTATTCATGAACGGAAAAAAAGAAAAAGATAGATAGAGAATGGAAGAGAAAGAGAGAGACTGCGAGCGAGAGAGCACGATCATGCGCTACTCACAGCCACCACTCAATATTGTCAAGATAAAGTCTTCGGCATTGATAACAACCATTTATGGTAATAACACAATAAGAGTTCATTTATGTTTAACTTTAATCGTAAAATTTTTATCTACTCACGTTCGATGTGTCTGCTAGACTCGTGTCCTGTGTCCGGTAGATACCGATTGGAATTTCGTAAGTCGTAGAACACAACTTCTGATAAAGTCTTCCATACGTTCTTATCCACATGTCTTCCTTCGTTATTTGCATCTTAAAAAAAGTTTACAAGTTAGATAATACCCGAGTAGAATTTATCTTGGGCATGCCTAAAGTTTCATTAGGCCTCTATTGGGAATTAATTAGATTAGCCTAACTTAGGCATTCCCAACTTATGCCTAATGAATTTGTTATTTAGGTGTTATAGAGATAGCCCAAGATTTGCTCAATTTCAATTTGCCTTATAACTTCCTAAAAATAACCTTATTAACTACCTGAACTTCATGTCAAAGTTAGGCATTGATGAGGAATTACTTATTAGGACCAACTTGAAATGACTTAAACTAAACCTAAATGAAGCACATTATATAATAGTAAATAATGATTAATATAAATCTTTAAAAAAATTATACATAATGATCTGTTCATATTAGTAGAATAGTAATAATTTTTTAATTTTTAATTATTAAGTGAAAGCACTACTTTGAGATGTGTGTAGCAAGAAGATAGCGACTATAGATTCGAATGCACCAAGGAACAAGTTTTAGCATGTGTTTGCCTTAATTATCAGAATATGCTCCATTCTCATAATTTTAAAGGGTTGAAGGTGTAATATAAAGTGGTGTAACAGATATTTTTGTCAAGTTTTGAGCTGTCACACCGAGATATTTCGAAAGAAAAACTGAAAAGGAAGAGGTTGAATGAAAGTAAAAAAGTAATTCCGCGATAAGGGAAAAATTTTATGAGTTTTAGATATTAAAAGTCGGTGTGACAGACTTTTCTGTCACAATGACAGTTGTCACACCAAATTTTTCTGAAAATATATAATTTTCTTTAAAATGATGTTGAAAAAATTAATTTCCATGAAAGTGAAAATTACTTAGAATTATTAGAAAAATAAAAATTTATAAAAAACGACGCCTTAAGTGTAAAAGTAATATTGTAAAAAATAAATGAAAATCATGTTTAATTAAAATTTATTGTATTCAGATAAATGTTAATTCGCATCATTAAAGTTAAAGTGAGTGGTATACGAATGTTATAGGTGGAGAAGATAGTTCTATTGACAGTTATGAGAATAAATCAAAGAAGCTGTAAGACAATGGGATTGATGTGAACTTTTTTTACATTTTATAATTTTCAAAAATTTAATATTAAGATTTGTACAAAATTGATCATGGTGTTCATTTTATAATCTACGTTATAAAAAAATGAAATTTTTAGTAATAGTAGATAATGTATCATAAAAAAGGAAAATTGTGCACTATTAATAAAATTAAATTAAAATTAAAATTAAAATTCTACCCGGGGATATGGTAATAATTTACATGATAAGGTTTTTTTTAATAGATAAACGTTCGATCCCCAATGAAAATGAGAAAATAATTCACAAGCTAGTTCGATTCATATGATAATTATTCGTTACTAAAGTAGTAAAAATAAAACATATATTCATTTTGAATATTGATAATAATTAATTTAATCAAATTTAAAGTGAGCTTAGAAAGACATTATTATTATCATAATTACCGAAGTCAAAAATCCTGAGCCAGGAGCTTGATCAACTCCAAGCAATAGTCTGACGAATGTTATTACATAATCTTTAACAAAAGCTTGATATAGAAGAGTGTCCAACATTGATGCACTGAACACACTGCCCGCAGCAAATGGTAGCCGGAACATGTACGATATGTGTGATCCTCTCTCCTTTTCTCTCTAAAAAGAAATAACCAATAAATAATGTTATAAGACCGTTATAAGATCAGTTCTATTGATGTCTTGACAAATAATTTTTACATTCGAAATAAATATTGTCATAAAAAACTACTTTACTATTTTAATATTTCGAAATTAAATTATAATAATAGTCATTACTGACTTATAAATATCATGATCACATTATGATCACATAAAGTATTTTTAGTAAAACCAATTTTATGAGAAAAAAAATTTACTACATATAAAAAAACATTCCAAACGACGTCAACAATATCTACTACGTTATTTGAAAATTAAAAAAGCGTTAATTCATGCCAGAGATATTATTAGGTTTTTTATCAATTCACAAAGCTACAATATATATCTTTAATGATCTGTCAGTTCAACTGTAACATACTCAGTGATATAAAATAAGTTAATTCAGTGTTACATAAATAGTACTTATTTAGTGTGCAGTTATTAGCTATGCTGTTTGTATAATTTCATTTAAAATCGATACTATGATTACAAGCAGTATAAGTTGTAACACTTTCTAAAAGGAATTAAATACTTAAAAAATAGTTATCTATAGACAATCAAGACAATTAATTCTACATATAATTGATATTGATTGATAACGTTCATAAGTATAAAACGATTAAAAGAAACGTGCATACATTTTTTATATCGTTCTCGCTATTAACACAGTATAAAATTTTTTTTACAGTTTTATTACTTGAGAAACTGTACGAATAATTTAATAATTGAAGATATTTAATGAAATATTACAGAATTTGGAAAGATTAAATGTACTGATAAGTTATTCAAGTAGAAAAATTGATTTTGACTTGTAGTAAAGCATAATTATAATTATGTTTCACTATAGTTTCTGCTGCATACTTTAGATTAATTTATAGTACTAGCAATATTATTAATTAATTGAATACTTTTAAATAATCAAATTATATTAACTTTTTCAAAGTTCTACAGAAATTATTTTCACAATAAATGATTCAAATAATTTCAAAAAAATAAATAAATGAAAATATGAAAGAAATTTAAAAAAGTTCAATGATAGAGAATATTAAATAGTATAGGGTTTATTACTGACCATTAGCAAAAACAATAGATTCAGATTGATTTTCAATTTTTAGCAAATAAAATCACTAAAATTTATTTAGCTATGAGAGTTTTTAATCATAAATAAATCGTCATGACAGTCAACCGATCATTCTAATTTTTGGTCAGGTCAATCAGAGGTCAGAGTGAGTGTTATAGTGTTACCGGGGAGCCCAGTGAAGGCTCAGCGGGGTAGTTGTCACTTGAAGAAGCTCTGAGGAGTACCTTTTCCATTTTGCTGAGATGAAGGGCGTATTTGTCATGTGCTCGAAATTGCATAAATCTCATATTGCTGGATTGAGATAACTCAGTAATGCTCTTTATACTTGGAAAGAACCTGTTAATAAGAGTAAATAGTTTTTATTATGATTTATTCGTCATCAGGGAAAGCTTGAGAAAGCAGTAAAGTAAGTATTATCATATCAAAAAAGAATACTTATTGAACTTTATTAATATGAATAACTATTGAATGAATATTAATTAATACAAATAAACAATTCAATTTTTTTGAAATAGTATACCATAAAACTTAATCGAATGGAATCTGAATAAATTAAGAGCCTTTATAATTGAAATTTTCTGTCAAGCTTCAAAATTTTTGTACCGAAAAACCTTCAAAAGTGTTTTTGAAATGCTCTTCTCAGAATTCATTTGATGACTATTGCTGGAATAATTATAAAAATTAATATGTTTAGAATTAATTACCCTTACAAGTATAAAAAGTCTAATTTTATTTCCTACTTTTGCATTTAGTTAATTTTTACAATCTTTCATAAGTTTCTCTATTAAAAAAATTTCAAACACATACAATATTAAGTAGGATTTAATGACAAGTTATATCGAAAGATAAATAAGGATGACAAAAAATTATAAAATGTATAATAATTGCATCTCGAGATACTATAGATAGACGTATAGCTAAAATAAGATCTCTTTCATCTGGAGCACCACTGTAACTGAGATAAAATTACCGATCATTTCAGATTCCACTTAACTAGGTTATCGTTATATTTTTAAATTTCTTAAAAAATTTGTAATATAAAATATCAGTGCTCTGCAGTGGTCTGGGTGCGACCCGAAAGGTCCACACGACCAACTTCCCAGTGGAAAAAATGAAAAAACAATTCGAATAGAGCCCGTTTCCATTCTTTATAACAAATGGAATTGTTATAAACGAAATGAGTGTATTTTTATTCATTTGATATGGTTAGTTACTCCAGTTCAGTAAAAGAAAAAATTGTGCGTTAGAAGAATTCGAATATACCTCATAGATCCTTTTCTTCATTATTTACAACAAATTTCATTGTTATACACGAAAAAAGTATGTTTTCATTTATATTATACGGTTGGTAATATTTTTTTAATAAAAGAAAAAATTATGCGTTAAAAGTACTCATATATATAGAATGGGTCCCTATTTTTATTGTTTATAACAATTTAAAATTTTTTATTTAATTATTACCATGATCAATAATCACTTGTTAGTAACAATATTCAATTGTTATAGACACAATTCCATATTATTGACAATTATTATTGACTATTATAGCGTCTTTAATGCTGTTTTCTCAATCCTGACACAAGTTTGAACTTCTTTCATTGCTAATTTTGTTTTTTAAAATTTTTTTTTTTCGATGAAATATAGTCACCATATTTTCATACAAGTATTCTAATCATTTAATATTCATATTTTTTTAAAGATATCGAAATTTTGTCTAAAAAATGGTATAATTTATAAATTGAGAAATTCAGGTCATTTTCCATTTTGGCTAGTTTTTTGGTTCTGCAAAAAAAAATGGCTATACCGATTTTGCTGAAAATCTAATTAGTTCTAAGTTACATAATTACGCGTCGAATGCAATTGGTCCCACATCGATATCATTTTTTGTTCTCGAGATAATCGAGGCGAAAAATAATTCCGAACGCACATACGTACATACACACACACAGACTTCCACTGGAAAACGATCGTATTCGACTCTGGGGACCTTAAAACGTGGAGATATGTCAAAATTCGGGATTCGCAAAATCGGACCCATTACTATAACTTCCCACTGGGAAGTTAAAAATGAAATTTATTAGTGTTAACTAATACTATTTTTAAAAATTTGTATCTTTTTTATCTTACTTGAACATTGTTTGCACAGCAACAATAGTATTGCAGTCAGCCAAAGTGTCTTCTTCAGCTGAATTATTAAGCTCTTTGTTGACAACTACGACATTTTCGGCAAGTGTAATACCAGCTCGTAGTAAATCGTCCAAACAGTCAATCGACCCAAGCATCCAATAAACTAAAGGAAAATAGGAGATAGCATCGAGAAAGGCAATTACCGGTCTTTTCTCCAATAGAAGGATGATCGGGTTCAATGAAGTTTTTGATCTAAGAATATAAGATATGTTAATTTTTGAATGAGTTTAAATAAAACTGTTGTTGAGTTTTTATAAAATATATTTTTCTTGTGATGTATTCTTTCCAGTTTTTTATCACATACGTATATCACAAATACTCACCGAAAATGTGCTCTTAGTGGAATAATGAAGTTATAAATTCCATTACTTGCATAATCCGCCGCTAGAATTATTGTTTTGTTTTGCCAATTATACTCTCGTGCATTACGATAAGTACAATGTTCACAAACCTATAAAAGATATTTATTGTATGTATCTGTACATTATGATTTTTTATTCGTAATAATCATAATCTTTAACAAGTCATGACATGTATGAAAATTTTTTTACACTCAATTATATGATATTTAATCAATAATGCAAATGAGATATCAAATTTAACGCAACATTAGTTTTTCAATGAACAGGATAATATGAATAATTACAGGAGTTTGATTTTATTTACCTGAGCTAATTGAAGACAACATAATGGTTTTTTTTCTTTTAAAAGATAGCATAAAGTTGGCGAAACTCCAATAAACGGTGAAACTGGGGGAAACCCTTTTACAATCCTGAAAAATAATTGTATCGGTCTGTCGTTGATTTTATTATAATTTTGTTTGTCATGAACAATATCATTTTTAGCATGCATTCATTGGCTAATATTCATTCTCATGGCCTTATTAAAAAAAGCTATACGTCAACCTCGAGCAACAAAAACTGATAACAGATAACTGAAAATTAATAATTACGTAAAAAACAGTAACGTAAAATAGTTGTGAACGTTTGTGATACATTGTTATTTCGTTTTTTATACTTCATACAGATACTACATGCGTTTTTTTTGTCGTTGGAAGCTGCAGAATATATTGTCATTATATTCATCGCAAGACAACGAAAAGTCATGTCTAAAATCATGTGAGTCACATTCATTACAACTTAGTCTTGGATCACGTGAGTTTATTTTTTATTAAAAAATATTACTAAACAACGTCACCACAAACATTTACAGTCAATATTTTTCTGTAGTTTGTATAGGTGCTATATGTATTGGTTTGACAGTTGGATGGCCAGAAATGTGTTCAGTATACTATGTCAACCCAGAATATCTAAATACAACTTTCATAAGTCTAGAAGATGCTAAGACGACGACAAACTTGGTATTAAATCTGGGTGCTTGTCTAGGTGCGCTTTTACCACCATGTCTTGTTGATATCTTTGGCCGTCGACACAATTTTGCTATTTCCGCCAGCATTGATATTCTATTTTGGATTATTCTTATTTACTCTCAAACTTTAATTGTATTTATATTATTTACATATTTTTATGCTTAATTATTAATAATGAATAATTGACCATTTTTACTTTTCTGTTTTAAAGCATTTGATGTTTACTACAGCAATAGGCGGGATAGCAACAGGATCATTTATAGTCACGGTAACAGTGTACATAAGTGAAGTACCACCTTTAAAGAATTACGAAGCCGTTGGCACTTTAGTTGCATTTTTTGCTTATTTGGGGATCTTACTGGGTACCTCCTTATCCTTGTCGATGCATAATGAAATTACCCTATTAATAATGTGTCTCTTGGCATGTATATTTTTTGTGAGCATTTACATGTGGATTATCGAATCACCATATTTTCTTTATAAAACTGGCAAGGTAAGGCTTTAAAAAGGATCTCATTAATTTTAATGTCTCATAAAAGTATCATTTTGGTTATTTGTGTTAAATTTTTCTTATAATAATAATATTAATAATTAAATATTGTTAATCGATATAAAAATATTAAGTGGAATTATTTTTCTATTAACTTTAGTCAAGTCAAATGAGGGAAATGGGATAATTTTGGTTTGCTGCGGCCAAAGTGATGATTTATAGATGACTAGATCGGAAATTTTGCGAGGAACACGATGGTGTAGGTCAAAAATGTTTGGCACTCATAGGGAGGGGGGGAGTAAATCGCGAAAAACCGCCCCCTATCGCGAATTTCTCGATTTCTATCATAGATATGAAAAAATGTTTTAAATAATAGTTGTTCAGAATTTAATTTTAATAAAAAAAGTACTGAACACTTTTTTTCATATCTATGATAGATAAAAAGTTATTCGCGACTGAAGTTTCACTATTGATAAAAGCTTCAGTCGCGTCTAAGAAAATTAATAAAAAATACTTAACGCGACAAATATCACTTTGTGGTGACTTATTTCGAAAAATGAGATACTAAACTATATTTTCAGAGGAAATTTTTTTTTTAAATTAAATTTTTCATTATTTTTATTAATAATAAATTATTTAAATCGTTCTCATTTTGGTTAAAATGCACCGATCAGCCCGATTTTGTGCTCAAAATGTGCAGAATCAAAAATTGAACAGTTCATCTATGCAAAATTCTGCTCTATTTTTCACCTGTTAAAAGTTATACAGGTATAAATATTTGGGCCCCTGAGCGCGCTTTTCCTCTTCTGGCGCCGTTGGGTGCGACAAAGAGCAATACATATCTCTCTGCTTCACTTGCACTCACACAAAACCTCTGCGCACGCGCCGAGTATTGTAAAGCATAAGTGCGAGTGAAATGCTCACTCCAACCGTAAGTGTGACAAAGACACTATACGGTGAGTGAAGAGGGGATGTTTTGGGCTCATGCTGGTTACTTCAAAAGTCTTTCCGAGCTCGAAATTTATCAGCGCGAGAATTTTTCTAAGTTCTACGCGCTTCAAATGTTAGAGAAAATTTGTCAATTTTAGGTCCAAAAAATCATATATATATACATCGATAGAGAATTAAATTTCCGATCGATCTAGCTATACTTTTTTAAGTACTTTTTTCCGATTTTTGAACGCAAAAAAAAGAATTATGTGAGAAAGAAAAAATTTATGTCTCTTACATAATTACTTCAATCGATCTAAAAATGTACATACATGTTCTTGACATATAGAAAAATTAATTATTTAAAAGAGAAAAAATTTATATCTTCCGCATAAATATCTCATTCTTATTTCTTCATAATAATTGATTGTATCACAATCGCAAATAATCAATTGTTTTTACCTGTTATTATTTCTTCATAATTTATATGGATGACTTCCGGTCATCACGAACACGCAAAAATTGGCATACATGTTCTCAGATATTTGTCGCGTTAAGTATTTTTTATTAATTTTCTTAAACGCGACTGAAGCTTTTGTCAATAGTGAAACTTCAGTCGCGAATAACTTTTTATCTATCATAGATATGAAAAAAAGTGTTCAGTACTTTTTTTATTAAAATTAAATTCTGAACAACTATTATTTAAAACATTTTTTCATATCTATGACAGAAATCGAGAAATTCGCGATAGGGGGTGGTTTTTCGCGATTTACTCCCCCCCTCCCTATGAGTGCCAAACATTTTTGACCTACACCATCGTGTTCCTCGCAAAATTTCCGATCTAGTCATCTATAAATCATCACTTTGGCCGCAGCAAACCAAAATTATCCCATTTCCCTCATTTGACTGGACTACTTGCGCTACAAGAAAAATTGTCTTTTTTTTTTACAGACATTAGAGGCTAAATTGGTATTGAAAGTGATCAATAATGCATCTCACATTTCGGAAATTGAATCAGAGTACAATACAATAGAAAAATTTTATGATTCTCAAAATTCATCCTCAAAAAGTTTTCTATTGAAAATATGTTGCTCAAATCTTACCATTAAATCATGGATTTCCATTTTTATTTTTTTTTTATTTATTGGTCAAATGTTAGGTAGCTATGCTTTAAGTAAATATACAGAAAATTTTATTGAAAAAGTTATTCCAGAATTTGGAAAAATACTTTTATCTTTTTTAGACATTTTGTCACTAGCTATATGTGTATGTTTAATTGAAAGGGTTGGAAAAAAACCACTGTTCGTGTTGTCAGTGTGTGGATTGAGTCTAAGTTGCGTTATTCTTGCTGTTGATATCTTAATTCACGAAATAGTTTATGAAAATCTCAATTATGATTACGAAGAAATTATAACTTTATGTATTGTTGTTTTATACTGTGTGGCATATTCATTTGGCATGATACCAATTCTACCTATATTTATAAGTGGAATATTTCCAAATCGTAACAAGACTATTGTTGTTGGTTTATGCATTTCCATTTTATATTTATGTGCAATGATAAATCAATCGATTTTTGAAGTTTTAAACTCTCAAACGGGTACCTATGTTGCAGTAACTGCTTTTGCAATTATTGGAATGTTAGGTTTATTTTTTTGTTATTATATCTGCAAGTTTGGAACTGGAGGAAATTTTCAAGAATTTATAAGCCGAATTGAAAATGCATTAATACTTGTACCATGAAAATAAAATAATACTGATTTACTATAGTCGAAACATGAATTTTTTGTAATTTTTAAACCAATTTACAAACTGCTTTAATGAACTTTCTATTCAATATAAAATTACTTATACAATATCAGTACATTAAATATTTAATAGAAAGTAAATTTCTGAATTTATAAATTTTTCTCTGGAAATTTTTACCAACCATCAAAGGACTTTTTCTTACTTGTTTGGTAATTTTTACCAACCAGAATAGTACCTTTTGTGTGTACTAACTATTCTAAATTCATACTTTGACATTCTTGTCGAATTTCTGATACGATGAACTTGAAAAAATTTATTTCCAACTGGACGCCTAAAACTAATTTTTAAAGTTCAAATTCAACTTTTAAAGTGGACACCTGTGTTTACGCTCCTATTCACTATAACTTTTTCAAATTTCAATTGTTCACGTTAAATAATGTCTAAAATAAACCATCGTGACAGACGGACGGGCAAGTAAATTCTGTATTATGATTTCGTTTAGTGATTTGGATATGTGGGATACCAAAAACAGTAATTTTTCACGGGAAATTTTCTCAGTGTATAATATCAACATTAGAGTAAAATTTACTTTCAAAATCTAGTAAAAATTCTAAGAAAAAATAGTAAACGATAGGAAACTTGATAATATTTGATAATTCAAGTTAAATAGATTAATAATTTATTTTAATAATCATAAAAATTTATGTCAACTATGAAAATTTTAACTAGACTCATGTTTCATAGAGTTAAATTTTATGCTTTTCAAAACTCTACTTTTTCATTATTAGTAATAAACTCCTAAATTTTGTATTGATTCGAAAATTTTAAATTCTAATTCTACTGATCACTAATTTCAAAAAAAAAATGGAACTTTCCTAAATACTTTATTTATAATGCATTATTTTTATGGTCAACAATTTATTATTACAACTACTATTACAGAAGAAAAATTCTTTTTGTTTTTATGCTTAAATGGTTTTAGAGTTTATTCACTCTGAATTTCCCCATTTTATTTCTAACCCTTCGTCATAATTATAATTGAATGGATAATAAAAATAATTGAATGATAATAAATGAGTAAGTAAATAATGTGGGGAAATAGAAAATAACACCATGGTGCATTGACTCACCCCTTAAAGCTGTGGTTCGAGGCGTGGAGTGCAGCAATAGGCGAAGTGCACAAAAGTGTTTACGGGGGAAGACATCGAAACACGCACATCCATGAGGAAATAGGGTGTCAGGCAGAAAACACCATCGTATACCAATAATCCAACAATACCATGTTAGTATACCGATCAAGACACCAACAGGATAGACAATGACAATAAATATTACATTCATAAAAAATCAATAGACTAATAAAACCTGTCCAGTTCAATAATTTTTTATATCTTTATGAAGAGATTTCTACACGAGCTATTTTAGTGGATTTTATTGTATTTTTATCGTTATACCAAGTTTTGTTACAATTTTTATACGTTTGATCATCTTTACGATCAGGGATTATATTGAGTATCACACTAATCTATAATTTATAAAATTCAATATATCATTAAAAAAATATTTCCAGAAAATTTAATATTAAATTTGAGTGATCATTAAATTATTTAAATCTTGAAATTTTATTAATAATTATCGGAACAATTGTTGGTAGATACAAACAATATTAAGGATATTGTTGAACAATAATTTAAATTTAGATAAGAACAAAGTTCATGAGATGGAAAATACTTAATTATCAGAAAATCCTAGTAATTAAAAAATTTATCTAATTCGTCTACTGCAAAACATGACTAATTCTGATTATTTTTTATAACCGTATTATTAATATTATTTATAATTATATAAATTTTTTCTACTTAATAGTAAAAATTGTTAAAATTATGAGTTGATAAAATTAATGCAAAAATTTTTAGCGGTTGCACAGATGACATTAAGTGCTGTAATAATATAGTTTTAGAGTGCATATCACAAAGTACATAAAATGTAAAAATAAAAAAAAAATTTAATCAATAATCCAGTATTAAAAAATCAATAAAAACTCACGCAATTTTTTCACTAGGTGATCTCCAGGATACATCGTCATCCATTTCATCCTCAGATTCATCTCCTTCATGATCTAGAGACTCTTGACCCGGAAGATGAAGTGTTGAACTAGTCAGCATATCAGGAACCGGAAGAATACTTGGTCTTCTACTACCTGAATTATTTTTCAAAGTTCAATTTAATTATATTGGTTGAATAATACTCTATTTATTCAACTGTTTATTTTGTATTTAATTCCAACCTCTTCTCTGCATTAATATTTCAGGACTTAAGAGATTGAGATTTGGGTCCATTGGACGAGGCACGTCGAGGTGATTTCCAGTGATTGGAGTTTGTGGAGTTGATCCTGCTTCTCGCAAACATTGTCTAGAATCCGTCAAATTCGCTGGGTCCAAGTACGTAGCTATAAAGATTATCAGTATTAATCGTTTACAACTTGATAATTGTAACCCTACTCGAAAACTTCTGAATTTTAGACCACTTTGAAAAACTAACGAAAATAAATCATTTTTTAAGTAAAATAAGTACGAAATAATATTTAAATTATATGTATTAGTTTTATTTGCTAAGACTTGAAAAATGTTTTTTCAATACATTAAAAAAATTTTCTTTAATTCAGAAGAATTCGTAAAAGACAATTTTTCATAAATACGTAATAATAGCTTAATATATCTTTATTTCTTTGATCTCTCTTTCATTATTTTAATTGATTTATACTAAAAGATTCTTAATCAATTAAGAAATTAATTAACCTGTTGCTCGTTCTAGATCTCAAAACAATTTTGTATGATTAATTTCCATATTGTGTATATCTCTCAATAAATCTACTAATACAGTGGAGGGATAAATGGGTAAGTCAGTATTAGTTATGAAATTGATGGCTCAATTTTGAGTGATAAATGATTTAATAAAAATTTCATAAATAAATTTATTTAATTTAAAAGCTTACATAAAAATTTTCATAAATAAAATAATGTATAAAAGACTAAGCATTTAGTTGTAATTAATTTATTGTAGCTGTATGCAACTATATTCATATGATGCGTTTTATCACCATAAAATTGATGAACCAATCAAGTGCATTGACATGAGCAAACTTGAAAAGTTTTTCTAAAATTTCAAATTATTTATGATGAAAAACTTTTACAAGTCGATACAAGTATAATAAGCGCATTATTGTAACACAATACCATAAGCAAATAAAAGATAAATTGATTACTTTGTAACTAGTTACTATATAAAATCCAGAAGTTCGTGTCATAATATAACCATTTACATTAAATAAATTCAGTCAACTTATTCAAAGTATTAAAGTTGTCTTTTTATTATATAAAAAGCTCTTCTAGATGCTAATCAACATAAAGTTTTTTTTTATTATATAAAAACATAATTAACTATAACACAAAAAAATAAAATTTTCCATCATATTATTGTGTTATAAAGTATCAATATTTACGTCGAAAAATATATCAAAAGATATTCATCATACTTTAATAAATATTAATTAAAATATAAAATTTTTATTTTTTTAGAAGAAAAATCATACTACAATTTTTGCAAAAGTAATGCTTTTGAGTCTAATTTAAATGTATATTGAAAATTTATATTAATTTTCATTATTTATTCATACAGAAGAATGATGTTAAATAATTTTCAAATAAGATATTACAAGAATTTGTTCAGCATCTATGAAAGAATTGAATAATTCTTTTTACTATGCTATTTTACCAGATATTAATTTTTTTTATTAATATTAAACATTATATTACACGAAATTTCAGATCGTTATTTATGAATTTTTGAAGAAGCACGCAACAAAATATATCGATAAAAAAGCAGTTAAAATAATTGGTGTTCTTTTTTGGTATAAATAAAAATAGCAATTGAAACTTTGAGTGAATAAAATCCATGTAAAAAAAAAAAATTTAGCTGGAATGAAATCAACTGAAAAAAAAATAATCGCAGAAAATAAAAAGAAAGAAAAGAAGCGCATGCGACACTCACGGTGAACATCGGATGCGAGTAGGTTGTGATGTTGGAGTGTGGTCGTGCTAGGGAGAACCTGCAAAATAACTTGAGGAGGTGGTGGTGCTCCGGGTAAAGGCACGTGGATACGTGGCTTCCCCGGTGACACCGGCTCACCATCCTCAGCACGTGCCGCATTACACGACACTTTAAAATCATTCGAACATCTCCGGTGCTGAGCCACACCAATGCCAATTGCTGTACCGTTCCCTCCTGCTGCTGCTGTTACGCTCGCTGACAATGTCGTTGTAGGTGTAATAGACGTTGATGTTGTTGTTATTCCTGATGCACCGCCACTACCAATACCACCGCCTGTCGTAGCAGAACCATCACTCTTCGTCTCTACTACCACCTGCGACGGCTCGGTGCCTCCTCCAGTCTGATTATTTGCCACTACGAATGCTGAATTTTCTTCCTTTGTTATACTCATGTAGTAACACGTGTCTGTTTTTTTCATAATGTGTCTTGGCCCTTGAGTACCAACAAGCAAAAAACATGAATAAAAGATGATGAATAATGCTGATGATGTAGGTGAAACCAACGATGAAGAATGAATTTTTATGGAAATGATTCTTACCAGGATTCAAGAGAATAGTGTCCTCGTAAAATTCTGGTAACTCTGCTGGTCTTACTGCTACTAGGGCAACACCGTACTTCCGGTGACTGTGAAATGACGCGTAGGTAAAAGATTTACCTTCATATTCACCAAAGAATCGTGAATCTCCTAGAGTTATATGATAAATCTCGTTGCCTGAACACTTTCCATAAAGTCGGTGCCATTCTTCCTGTGACTGTTGTCCCTCTCTGTTGGTTTTAGAATATATAATTAATTATGACGAATAAAATAGCAAAAACCACAGCTTTTTAGAGTTACGTTTTTTTGCATGAGTTCAACATGAAACTCTAGCCTTCTTTTTCTCTTGTATTTACGTACTTTACTATGCTACTTTAACTGTTCAAAGTCATTGACCATAAAGACTTGAAATTCTATATAAAATTAGATAAATGTACTTTCTATGTAATCTTAAAGTTAGTTGCGTAAGAAACTGAATTTTTGTATAGTATAATAGTAATAATTGTTTAAATCGATTTTCATTTGATTTTATATAAATATTTTAAGATTGTTTTCTCTAATATATTTTTAAAAGTAAAGTGAACAAAAGCAATACATGATATTTGTATTTGAATATTTTCCAACGTTACTCACTGTCCCCTTGATGTGTGGAGTAACAATGTCACCAACGTTGATGCACCAGGACAAGTACAATTATTCGCTAAAATAGCATATTTTAATTCATCCTCGCACACAACATGCTCAGCAAATTTCACGTGGAGTTTATTTTCCGGACGGAAGATCTGAACATATTGGGGTACATTTGGTGCATAATCCTTGACAGCCCATGATCGTAAAATCGTATGCTCATCCGCGGCAGTTTTGTCAGCATAATTTCTTGCTGCAAGCACGAAACATGCTTCAGCATCATTCATTCGTGCTCTAACAAGATCACCATCCTTTAAGCATGAACCTTGTATGTAAATAACTCGTTGAGCCCAAATAGGAACTTGAAGTATCATCCTCATGGTGGTATCCAATTCCATTGGAGATAACAACACAACATAATAATCCTATACCAGAAAAAAAAAAATTGTAAGTCATAAAAAAGTTTTTGTTCGTTCGGAATATAAATCTCAGTATTGTTTATATTTGTAAAAAAACAATACTTGAAGCAATGGATGCGCGTAAAACTCATTCAAGAAGTCCATTATCGTATCTGCTTGTAAAGTTGTGCTGCATACTACCACGTGCTTTTCATTTTGTGCTCGATGCGAAGAATACGATCCTCCAAGTTTTTGCCGTTCCATCCACGTGAAAGCCAATTGCTCGAACTAAAAATAATATCATTAATAAATAAATTTCCTAAAAATATCTCCAATATGGCATTTGACTCAAATTTGATCAATATTATTCTGTCATTATGAAATTAACTGAAAATCGATCAATTTTAATCACAATAATTGACCTAATTTTCAGTATATTAATAAACTCGATTTATAGAAAAAAATTTTTGATGTTCCAATTTTATTATTGGTATTTATTTTGTATTTTTACTTTCTAACCTTTGAATTTTTCATTGGCTTTGAAACATTTAAGAACAATAATGTTGCTTTTAAATGTCTATTTATTGATTCTATTTCAATCGTAGAAATGCTGTTAAAATTATTGATACTAATTGGAGTGTGACATTTGTAAATTGATATAATTTTATAAAAATAATATTAATGATAACAGAGCTTATAAGTAATAATTAACTTATAGGTCAGTAGTATTAGTCAAATCATTTATAATAATGGAAATTTTTTAAATTATCAAATATTTTTTATTCTATTACATTAAGTTTAATTGTGTAGAAACTTTGTGTAATTATATATTCTCAGTTAATCAAACGTTTATGTGGCAAATAATTAAAATTAAATTTAAAAAATCAATTCTAATCATAAATTAATTTTCAAATAGCTTTTTATATAAGTATTATTTAAAACTACTGATGATGGTCTAAAAATGTTTTTCTTGATCGGCTTCGTCTCGGCCATCATATCACACACGCCGGGAAATTCAACTTTCTGGCCTTGGGTCGTAATATACTATTTATCTTTTTATTATCAATCAATAAAATATAAAAAAAATCAATTAATAAAATAAATGACAACAAAACTAAACATGAAATCCGACTTAGTTAATTAAACGACGATTTATACGACACACGTCTGAACATACTTGCTAGCAGCTACAATCACCATTACAGAATGAACGACAGATGGACACAATGTCGACAGAATTGTGCCTATGAGCGTTACTTTTCACACTATCTATTCGACCATCCATCAATTCACTTAAACCCTCTTCCCATATTTATATTGACTCTTCGAAATATTCATGTGAGGTTTCTAATATTTAATGTATTTCAGTTACAATTTGATCAAACATACACAATCAACTTTGTAAGCTCCACAGTTATACTCTTAGTTAAATTATGATAACATTGTTACAAACTTAAATGTTAAAACAAGCAAAATAAAAAATTAATAAAAAAAATTTTCGAAACTTTTTTATTTTAGTTAATGTTCTTTTCTTTTATTATATACACTTTTTCATAACTTTCCTTTGAATCTTTTACGCTTTTTTTTAGTTTTTTTCTTTATACAAATAACATCATAAACAAGAGTTTACGAAAGAGACTTATAAGATTCAGTGAATAAATTCTATGAGACAAATAAGTTAATTTTGATTCAACAAAACTAATTAAAATGAAAACGAATAAAAACGAGTAAAAAGCTCTTGAATAGTAAAAAATATAATTTTGTTAATTAGAATACTTTTTACCTGAGTCGGTAGAACTAATAGTGCGACGCATATCATGCAAACCATATAAAGCTGTGAAGGCCAAATGTCTGGCACGAAGTCTCCATATCCTACAGTAGAGAATGTTACTACCACAAAGTACGTGCTTTGAAATAAATTCAACTGTCTGTGACCTGCTCTCTGGAAGTGTTGAATCCCACATACACTGAAATATTAATAATAAGAAATTAAAAGAAGGAAAAATGACTAAATTTATTTATTTTTATGGATGAAAATTCTTGAACTGCTTGAATAAAAGCTGAGAAAAATGATTTTCATAAAAGGAGAAAATTCAAGAGAACAGTATTCATTCTGTTAAAAAAATGGTATACTTTCATATAATTTAGATTAAAAATTGTATGTAAAAAATGAGAAGAGCAAGAAATAACGTAAGTTTATTTCTCGTTCAGGTAAACCAGTTAACTTTTTTTAAAATAATTATTTTAAAAAATAAAATAAAAGCCATATGCATATAAATTGAAAATAATTGGTTATGTTTATGGATTTTTTTCAATTCAAATAGTTTTTGTCACAAGATAGTTCTCGTACTACTTAACTTATTTAACTAACTAGCTAATTGATTAATCAGCAGAATAAAATGATTCAAACGATGATAAGAATATTATGATAATTTAATATCTCTTGTATCGGTATAATAATCAACACTAATAAATTTTAATTATGAAATTAATTAAAAATTGAAATAAATTATTAAGTGATAATATAGTTTTTAATTATAGCTTTTTCTAGTAAATGACTGTTAATATTTAAGAATAACTTTGAGAACGACTTTAGTGGAATATTTAATTAAGGATAGTAATAGAAGATAAACTGTAAGTTGTTGTAAAAAGTAATCATAATAATGTAGCAGCAAGAAAACGACAAATTCCTATTTGAAAAGGTTTTATGAAAATATCATTGTGTGAGAAATATAGTAAAGGGTCAAAATGAATAGACCAGTTTGTATGAATAGAATTGACTTAAAGTTTAAATTAGTTGGGTAAACGCAGCATTTAATGTTTAAGCTTGAGTTGTCTGAAATTCTACACAGCGAAAGTCTAGCAGTATTTATCGTCCAATATTAGTTCTCTTGAATGCAACTTAAGAACTTTTGGACGACTACTTTACTTCAATCTCCATGTTAAAGAGACACATTTGTAATAATTCCCTGTCTATTATTCATGCAACCTACTTCTCACTCTGGAGATATAGAATTGAATTTTTCTCTTTCATCAATTTTCAATTTACTTGAAAACTAGTTCATTTGCATCATGTAAAAGGTCAGGATTAATTATTGAAATCAATCAATATCTTGTTCAGCTGATGGTAAATCATCAAAATATCACGTCGACACTATTGAGAATTATTACAAGTGTTAGATTATAATGAATAAATTAAAAGTATCGTGAATAAATGTCACTATGACTCCGATCAAAACTTGCGTTTACTGTCATTCAACTCAACTAAAGTTGTGTGAATGTTACCGTTGTCTATGATATGAATAATATATCTCATGAAATCAATATAATACGACAAGCCCTGTATGAGCTAAGAGTTAGTCGATTAGTTATTTATTGTTGGCCTACATAGCGTTGACTTATCGGACAATATGGAATGAAAAGTGAGAAAGGTATCTGGAGACATTACATACATAGCACAAACTTGTAAACCCCCTAACACCAAACGCTTTTATCAAATCTGTACATCTACTAAGTATTATTATTATACCCTTTGTGTCTATTTCTAGTCATGACCCAGAGGAAATGGACTTTTATCATTAAAATTATATTGACATTATTTTAATTATCATTTTGAAATTGAGAAAATTAAACTTTGGTACAACTGACTCATTTAATTCTATATATTAAAATATCGACAATAATAAATGTATAATCAAGAAAAAATCTGTAATAAATACAGGTTTACTTTTGAAAAACTACTTTCATATTATTATTTTATGTACAAATATATAAAAACAATATCTATGAATTACATCATAAAAAGAAGATACAATGAAATTCATTTATATCTTTTATTGTATTTTATTATTAATTAATTATGTAAATAATATTAGATAATGTTTTCATTCATTACTAAAACATGACGCAACAAAAATAATTTAATTAATTTAGATATGTTAGTATAAAGTTTCACTTAATTTGAGAATTATGTTATGCTGCTGAAGTTCATTATTTACTTTGAAATCTACTATCGAGAGGGTTATACTTTTTGAAAAAAAAAAAATATTTTTACATCACTTTTCTCTAATATAACATGTCTTATATATTTATTTTCTACGTTAAGGATCGTTTCGTATATTTTTCAAAATTATGCTTATTAACTAGATAGGTAACTTTTCTAAATTAAATCACAATAGGGTTCTTAGGCTTCCGAATGAAACATCTGCAAAAACAAACAAAATTTAAATTAACTTATTCATTCAACTCGCACAAAGGAAATTTACGAAATTTATATAATTACGAAGTACTATTGTACGTTACCCTGACTTTTAATCTCGGCTTTATGAATGTTCTCAAAATCAAACCTTTTTCATTAAAAAACTTTATAATTAAACAATATTCCAAACTTTTTATTTTTTATTTTTTTTCTATTGTTTTTATCGTTTATTTGTGAATTAATAACGATAGATGGTTCAATTGATAAATTTATATTAACACTAGAATTTCATTTTATCATTTTTGCGTTTGTTGTTGTATGCATTTGAATACCCAATAGATTAAATTAAATAAATATCTTTTTCGATACATTGAATATAATATTTGATACAATAAATTATCACTTTTTTGTAAGTATTCTGAGTATTTTTTTCTTTACGATTTGTATTATAAAACAACTTTTTTACAGTAACAAGTAAAAATGTTTTTACGAGTTTATATTAACACAAAAAAATAGGGTGAAAGTTTTTATTGTAAGAGAAAAGAAGATATTATTGTCCCTAGGTGGTTATTCTTGGACATTGTGACCCCGACAACGAAACAGATACAGTTCACGTCAATCGACTTTACGTTGCTATAAGCAAAATTCAAGTTCGATCTCTAACTAGAGCTATAGCTTGAAATAATTGAAAAATCAAATTTTCCTTCGTAATACTAAAGACGTAACAATTTTTCACCTATTTATTCATTTATTTCATTGCTTTCTAGAGTACAGTGTTACTCACTTTTTTTTGTACAATTTGTAGAAAGATTGGTAAGTTAAATAACAGAAAAATGCAAAATTTTTTGCTGTAGGTCGAAACAAATTTTATTAAATTCTTTGCACAATTATGCTGCAGTGGAATTTTTTTTTGTTAATTCCATTAATACATAGAATATTTTAGCAACGCTTAAACAAAAAATAAAGAATATAATTTTATGATAATAAGAAAATGAAATTGTGACAAAGTCATAGAGGTATAAAAGCTATTTATGAGTTTCGATAGTACGGTAAGGTTCAACATTGCGAAACTCGTATGACATCATGAAGCTTTTTAAGGCGTCAAAGTGGAGCTCACAAGTTTGCGAGCACTCGCTCTAGTGCTATTATTGAGAAAGAACCCCTCGGGAATATCAGGGTGTAGCGAGTTTGCACTTTAGATTTAATGGTGATTCTCTCTCTTCCTTTCTCTTTACTCTTCCTCTTCACTCAGTCATATCATGATGGTGTGACTTTTTCATACTGGCACTCCTTGACCACTATAAGGCATGTACTTCAAGTACTTATTATGCTAAAAACTTTTTTTTTATACGTTCATCAAATGTTCAATAACCATTATTCTATTCTCTCAAGTGTACATAATTATTAAACTTGAGCAAGAAAAATTACTTTGTTTAATTTTAATATAATTTCTTCACCTAAACTTCACAGCTCTTTCATTACTTATGAAGTCAATCTTCTTTACAGTTAACATTCCTATTCAAATAACAATATTCCTGTTGCATCTGTTAATTGTACTTAACTTTTTATCCAATACAAGTTTGTAATCAATAAATATTTATTTTTCTTTAATTACTCCATAAATTATCATTCATTTTATTTATTTAATTCAAAATAATTAAAAAGAAAACTTTTAACTTTACTGTTTTTAATTATTTACTATTAATCGATGATCGAATAAGATTAATCAATTTACCAATCTTCTATACCATGATTGAAATGTCTATTTGTACTTTCAGTTATTGTATAGAATAATTTCGGAACTAAAAATACTAAGTAATTATATGATGATGAATAGAATATTTAAATATTTAAAAGATGAAGAAAATTGAATGTGACTCAAAAATATATTTTTCCATATAGTTTAAAAAAAATAAGTGGGTGCGGTCTAACGTCGAGAATCGATGTCAAATGGTTATATGACGTTGGAATGCACGCTCTCAATTATCAAAAACAAAATGTGCTCATTAATTAATTCTTCACAAAGTACTTAAAATGTTTTACGAGACATTATTCGAAGTATTTTTAATTAAACGCATTAAATATTACTGAGTATTCATATGGATAAATTTTGTCGAAAGAAATCGTAATTCCATTACTGAATGCCAGCTTCTGTTTTTTATTAATTTATCAACAATCAGTTATTTTAATTGGTTCGATATTCAATCAATATTAATGATTTCTATATTATTTAATATTTGAAAACAGTGTATTATTAAAATAACATTAGTGAAATTACAAATAATAAAAATATTAGTACTCTTTAGTGATCTAAGTGCGACCCGGAAGGCATACACGACTAACTTCCTAGTGGGGACAACAAAAAGATTTTTTTGTTTTTAAAATCAATTAATTATCACCACTATAATAATTATATTCATTATAATTATTACTGGGAGGTCAAGTGTGTAAATGTTGCCTAAATTGAAAAATGCAGATAGTTTACTATTTTTTTTAGTTTTTTGATTCTGCACAAAAACTGGCTGAACCGATTTTGCTAAAAACCTAATCAGTTCTAAGTTCCGTAATTATACGTCGAATACAATTCGTCCGACGTCGATATCATTTTTTGCTCTTGAGATAATCGAGACGAAAAATAATTCCAAACTCACATACGTATATACGTAAATGTCAACTTAAAAACCGTTGTTTATGACTCTAGGGATCTTATTAAAACACAATGATATGTCAAAATTCGGAATTCGTAAAATCGGATCCATTACTTCAACTTAATACTAGGAAGCCAATAAATAAAATTAGTATTTGAAATAGAATTCATTCTATTTTTAGAGAACAAAAAATGTTGTACGTAACGCAAAAGAATATCATTGTGGTTATGGAAAAAGAACTAAAATATCAAAATTCCTATTAAACATTGATATTAGCTGTGGGCTGTATGTTTCACCGAAATATTTACTTGCAGACATATTGGTGTATATTTTGTTGAATACTGAGGTTGTGTTTTCGTTGTGTCAACATCTCGAGTGTGTTAGTTTCGGTCACTAGAGACTAGAGAATACTAGACGACCCCTCAGGCATAATTCGAATAGCTTCGATGTTGTAAAATTTCAGCTGATAAATAATGACACAAACTTTAAAAGATTAATTGAATCTGTTTAAATATTTACCACTATAAATGCATTATAAAAATTTTATTTTCAATGTGAAATTTTAAATTTATCTTTTATTCAGGATATAATTTTATTTGTGCCTAATTTAGTCTTTCAGATCTTTTAAGATCTTCTCATAATTTCGTGTATTGTCTTAATTTCTCGATGTTTAAATACTCTTATCAGTCTTTGGAAAGTCTACCCTAAACAGTTACTATAAATTTCATTAATTGTAGACTTCTCATTTCTATAATTTTCCCAATAATAGTTAAAACTTACCTCGTGAAAACAAGGCACAATAACGTGACACTAAGAATCATTAGCTGCTGACTTAAGGCCGACTGAGACCTTTGCATTGCTCTGTGTAAATCATTCTGTAATAGTTAATTCAATATTAACATTTTTGTTATATTCCAGTGAAACTTGTTTAACTTTATTACAAAAATATTATTTTATAAAAAAGTTAATCGAATGTCTTGAAAATTCAAATTAAGGCTTGAAGATATTAGAATTTTTGTTATATATAAGCGAAAAATAATTAACGTTGACTTAATGGCACAATTAGAAATGTTACAGGTTTTAAAGGCCTCTTATCATAAGTATATCTATAATTTATAATTTGATACTGAAAATAAAAAATAGCCGATTTCTGATCCAACACTGTACCAGTCTTGAACCAATAGTGTTGTTTTTGTTACATCTAATATCTATCTTCAAAAAGATGAGATAAATATTAATTTGTAATAGGACATGAAAATAGCTTTTGTGTCTGTTCATGTCTACTGATAAAACGTAATAATGTTTCGAACTCTATCATACACCAACGGTATTACTAATCTTAAGCAAAAATATTGATGTTATATGAAAATAAATTGTTTACTCACGAACATATTTTCCAGAGAGTGCTTAGCCAGCCAACAGTTAAGAAATACTGGGATGAATAAATTTCTCATTGGTGGGAAGAGAATCTGTAAAAAATATATCAAAATTTAAAAATTATTTGAATTATACAATGCAGAAGAATCCAAACAATTAATTTATTAAGTATCACTAGTTGGAATAATTCATGATATTACATCTCGATAAACTAAGTTTTAAGTTTTAAGTCGATAGAATAAACTTAAAACAATACATTAAATTAATTTAAATATTATTCAACTTTTCGAACTTTTCTGAAGGATTTTTATCTTTGATTACATTACATGTTATTATTCATAGATCTTGAAAATAATCAATACAAACTAAAAAAAAAATATTTAACTTCAACTTTTTTCAGATAATAAAAAAGGAATTCAACGATTTTTCTGTGCTCGTTTTTTGAAGTTAAAAAAAATAATGTCACGAGTAGAATATAAAAAAACTTTAGTCTATAGCGGTTTGCATAACTTGTGAGTTAAACTGTTTTGTTCGTATACGCCTATTTGTTTTTTATTTAGCGAATGAAGGAAATTACCTGTCAATATTATAATTATTCTGGCGGTGACAATTTTCATGGGAATTACAAGTGTTATTTTATCTTCATTAATAATAAGTGACAAAATAATCAATTATGATATTAAATTAATCGATGAATAAATAAATTTAAATTGAAATAATTCTATAACTTTTCAAACCAACATAATTGAATTAAATGCACTAAAATAATTATGATTCATGATGAAATTAAACGCTAAATCGATTTAATATTGAATACAATACGATGAAACATGTTGAATCATGGTACAAGTTGATGTTTGAAAAAAAATTTTAAATAATTACTCGATATTAGATAACAATTGTAACAGAAAGTATGAATCGTATTAGAATAGACAATACTCGATGAAAATAAATTCTATGACAGACAATATTTATTAAAGCAATTAATAAATACCAAAGATAATAGACTTGAGCTAATGAAATTTTGATAATAACATAATAACCAAAGTTAATATCATTATATTTCCTGTAAATTAGAGAGTTGCTTAATCCTAATAGAATAATGAAAACGTATGTATTACATTATAGTTTACTTTTAATAACCTCATTTTCCAAATTAAATATTTTATATCATAAGAGAAGTGTAATCTCGATAAAAACTAATTTCGATAAAAACGAGATGATACTGCATCAACGATGACAACGACGTTCAGAAAGCATTATAATATTTGGTTCTATAGACGAAGAAGTCATTTGAGACATCCTGGAACCAAGTGTACTTGATAGTCCAACTCTTGGGATACTGAAGACAGGGTAAAGATATCGGTTTGCATTGACATTTCGTGCTTTAAACGATACTGTGAAATCTTCGATATTTTACCGTACACGGAGAGAATTTACGTAAGTTAACTGTATACTTACTTAACTAACCCTGACAGTATAATAATTATTTATGAAAACTTTAAATTCATTTGTGTCAATTGTGATTAGAAAAAAAATGCTTTCGTGTATCAAAACTATCATTATAACTAAATTATCTATTTTTGTTGGGTTAAATAAATGTTATTGATATCGACTCAAATTCTCTATCTCTATTTTCCTTAGTTTAATTTATCCAATAGTAACGATCTTAACTTAATAAGAAACTGAATGTTCAAACTATTCATTTATAAAATAGTAATCATTTATCATTATTGAATTCAACTATGGCTACAGCTAAATATTTTGGATACAGACATGTAAGGATCGCCTTACCCATTAATTTATTATTTATTTTAGAGATGGCATCATTCTGAATACATATAGATGTAGAAGTAGAGGTCTAGTCTAATAGTTTATGCGCGCCAGCTTAACGACGTTCGGCTGACAATTTGTGCGCAAGAGAAAACTACCACTAGAACTAATACGATCGAAAAATAAGCCTAACAATCGGTTTTTAGATCCTAACTTCTGAATGTGTAGATTAAGGAGTTGACATAGACGTGATTATCTTTACTTATTTTCTCAGTGTTGAATCCTGGACTAATTGAACTTAAAGACACCAAAAGGAGCAAGGAATTAGGTGTTACAATTTAATTCTTTCCTTAATCACAATAATTGATAACGATTAATTGGTAGTTAAATTGATAGTAATAAAAACAAGTGTATCACATGTCATGTTATTAACTACTACCGCAAAAACCTTTTAATTGTTTACTGCTATAATTCATACTATATATATATAGTATATACTATATATATACATATATAGTAATTTAATTAAGTACATTTATCATAAAAAATATGTAAATATAGCATAAATAAATTATAAATAATTGGCTATTTAAAAAATACTTACAGTGATTGCAAATGGTATTGTGTTCACCAACTCCAGAATAAAATGGAACGAAAGTAACTGCTGCCATACATTACCCTGTAAAGTTAAAAGAGCCAACTCAACAAATTCATAATTTTTATTTAATAAATTATGTTGCTAATGTAACAATATTTTTTATCACATGTAGAAAAATATAAAAGATATTGCTTATTGGAAAATAAAACAACTTTTTATATAAAAAAAAACTAACTAAATGATAAAAATTGTTCATAATAATTATTCCTTATTACAGTTAAACTAAAAGGATATAGAATATCCTGACAATTGTAATAGAATGCAGTTTTTTACTTATAATCACGAGACTAATAAAATTCACAGAAAAATACAGTACCCTGTGTTTTATACAAAACTATATAGCAAAAAAATGTTAAATCGAATAGAAGAGAATAACAAAAACGAACATAGTGTCCGTGTGAAAAATTCCAGATGATACCAGTAGAAAATTGGAACATGCAACACTTTTGTAATGATACTACTATGTTTAGATCTCGTGAAATGTTTTAGATTATTTGCACTATTATTTCTACATCACTAGTTCTTTAGATTGAAACCCCGACTTGGACCAAGAAAGAATTCTTGACGTTTCAATTTTCTGTTTATCGTTTATATTATAATAAAAAATACCTAAACATTTTCTAGCTGTTTTGTTTTCGTTAAAAAATGAACAGTTGTGTTGAAACAAGAAAATAAACTTTAAAAAAACTTTTAATGGTTGTTTTTTTTTCTCCTTTTGAATATTTTTTTTTTTTGTAAAGATTGCAATTTTCTAACTTGTGTTAAATTTCAAAAAATGACTTTTTTGTTGTTTGGAAACTAATCTAACGATATTTAATTTTCTTTAATACTTTAAACGTACTGAAAAAAATGAAATAGCTGAATAGTCTTTTCGTTATAAAAAAAAAAATTCATATGTAATATGTTGAATCAGAAATTTACACATGACAGCGAATCTAACCATTCCTATTTTTCTTAAAGTAAGACCCTCGATATGTACTTGTCAAGTATTTAATGACCTATTTTACCGCACTCTTTTAATAATCAATTTAATGATTATTATTGTTAGACTAATTTTAATTATCTTCATCATTATTAATCATCCTTACGTAGATTAGCATTTAGTGTTATAAAAACTGAAAATGAAACAAAATAATATTACATACTGAATGTAAACTAAATATACTCATAGAACGTTTTATTTCTAATGATTTAGTTATAAATACATTAAAAATTAATTTCACTTTTAAATTTGCAACATTTTCTATATTGAAATTTCTTTTTTATTATCCTATTTAAAATGATTTTGTATTTTAATTGTCAAAGAATTTATGACAACTTTCAAGTTCAATTTTTCATCAAAATCCTGTGAATACTACATAAGTAGTCAAGTAATCATAAAACTGATAAATTTCAAGAGAAAAAAGAATCTGAACTTATGTATCACTACACTCAGACAATACTTCATCCAATAAATACCAGGCTCAGAAAAATAGACAGGTAAAAGAGAATTTATGTCGAGGAAGTTTCATCTAAGATTTTGTAGTATCATATACTGATACATATATATACGCTATACTTTTATTTTCACATGAAGTATCTCGTTATATATCTTCACAGGCTTAGAAATCCACACTAGGATATGTGGAGAATTACACCGTTGTTCTCACTGCTTCATGCCTCAGAAACTAACAACCACAAACTTCAAACATCAACTCATCCATTTTGAGATAAACAGTGAAAATAGCTTGATTTTTTTGTTATTTCCAAGAATATGTAACTTCCTAATAATTTTAAATAATTCATAAAAAAATATTTCAAAAAAATAAGTTTGGGCTTAGTTTGTGCGCTGACGACAAACTTTCCATTAGTTGTAATCCGTAATTATGTCATCTTTTTTTTCCGTTTATAAAAAATTACTATTTTTATAAAGAATATACAATTGTTTAATCACATCAAAATATTTATCGAATATAATCATTGTCATAATAATTCAATAGACTGAAACCATTTTCAATTGTTTATAATAAATTGAATTTGTTATAAATAATACATAATTTTCCAGAGTCATATGAAGTTATTAACAACCATATTTTATTGACCTCAGTTGTCAATCATGTTAACCATCTTATAAGTAGAATCTATTTCAAATATCTTTCTTACTCAACTTATTCTACACTCTTTTTCTTATAAAAAAACAATGACTGGACAAAATTTGTTCAAACTTCTTTCAGATCTTTTTCATTATATTATCTTTAAAATGAAATTTATCTGGAGTCGATATCCTCAATAGTTTTCGAGATATTAAAAACGAATAATCCTGACATACACATGCACATACGTAGGAGAGACTGGAGCCGGTTGTAACACGGATAGGTTGTTACAGCAGTAACGGTGGCTATTATACTGTTGTCCGTTGTAACAATCTACCTCAGTCTCCCCTTCATCCATATATGTATACATTTTTAAATCTTCTAATATGCTTTCAAATGTCTCAAAATGTAAAGACATGATAAAATTATGAATTTCAAAAATAAACTCCATTACAATAATTTCCTAATGGAAAGTTAATAAATTTCAATAAGCAGTTTTCCTATATTAAATTCATTAAAACTAAAAAATTTTCACAATTATTTTAATTTTTCTAATTAACACATTTTCAAATTCAAATTGACAATTTTTTTTTTAAATTCAAAAACTGAATTAAATTGAATTTGGTCAAGAAAAAAAGTTACTTAGAAGTGAATAATAAATTAATAAATTTTAACTTGATATATGGTCTACATTAAATTTTACATAATAATAATAATAATAATAATAATAATAATTTTGTCTGGCCGAGGGGTGCTCCTCTCGCTACGGTAATGGAATAAGTCCGTACAGCCAGTTCTTCCCTCCTCACTGGTGATGGCCTTCCGGGCGTGAGGAACGAAACTATCCATCTCGGTTTCGTTAAACATCACCACCTTTGCAGTGGGCTAACCACCCCTGCAAAGGTTTTTAACAGGTTACTAACGATAGACCTGCACCGGCCCCCCACAACCGGCCCTCTTCGGATGAGGGCCATGGAACAGTTGGGAGGGGCCTTACGATACGTTCCAACATGGCTATCGACCACGGACCACCCCTACAGCGCCTCAGGTGGACAGAGGAGCTGAGACGGGATTTGATGCAGTGTTGGGAGAGATGCGAGCCACAGACCTCAGGCTATGCCAGGCGCCTGCATACTCTGTGGTGCGAAAGGCACCCAGAGTTACAACAGCTAACGCAGGCGGCGCTCGCATCGCAGGTGCGGTATACTCAGTCTCGACGGCGGATAGAAGAGGAGTCAGACTCTGACTCTTCAGTATCAAACGCTTCAGAGACTGAGGGCGAAGTCTCACTAACACCCGAGACAGCCGCACCGAGGTGGAGCATACTCCCGTTCCACCCTTCTCTCACTGCAGAACCCCCAACTCCTCCCCCTGAGGGCACCAATCACCAGGACTTCACCGGCAGAGAGGGTAATTTTCTCCGGAAAATTACGCTCTCTGCAGAACACCTAGCCAGCGCTAACCAAGATCTCGACCATCGGGTACCAGATAGTGTAGATCTTTTTGCACTCAACAATGCAGTCTATGATGTGGCTCGAGGGTTTACTCAGGACAGACGAACACCTGTCAATCCTGAGTTAAGCCTGAAAAGACGCATCGAACAGATTGCAATTAAGATCAAGAAGGCTCGACAGGGTGCATCTCGTATTCAGAGTGTGATGGATCACGTAAATACTCACAGGCCTTATACGCCAAGAATTCGGCGTATCGTGGCGAGTATCAGACGTGAACATCACACTTTGAATACGGCCGTGTTACTGATCCTAAAGGAAAGGTACACAGGCAAAATAAGATCGCTAATGGCCGTTAAAAAGTCATTAGCAAAGCGGTACAAGCGACGAAGGGACAACAGATTGTTTCAATCTGACCCTTCGCGCTTTCTTAAGCCGCAAGCCCCTGTCACTTATGAGCCCCCGAGTGCAGAAAGAGTTGAAACCTACTGGACCGAAATATATGGTCGCGCTAGTGCGCTAGATGTAGACACTCCAGCCCTTCAACTGTTCAGAGAATTCTGTGACGAACATCTATCACGAATTCCTGAAGAGTTTCAACGAGTCAGCATGGATGAAATCAGGAATGCTCTAAGGGGCACAAAGAACTGGGCTGCCCCTGGGCCAGATGCAATCCCCACCTTCTGGTGGAAGAAATTGACCTCATCCCACCAGCATCTGGCTCGTATCTTCTCAGAATATCTAGGAGGAGATACACCCATTCCTGGATGGCTCGTTGAAGGGCGTACTGTGCTGATCCCCAAAAGTGGTGATCTGTCCAACCCCAAAAACTACAGGCCTATTGCATGTCTAAATACTCTCTACAAATTGTTTACAAAGATTTTGAACGAGAGGATTTTGACTGCAATAGAACCTGTATGGAGACAGATAAACGAACAACGTGGCAGCAAGCGTGGCTTGACAGGTTGCAAGGAGAACTTGCTAGTAGACCGATGCGTCACAATGGACGCATACTACTACAAGCGCAACTTGTCAATGGCCTGGGTGGATTACAGAAAGGCATTTGATACAACATCACACGAGCTTCTCCTCTACTTGCTCGAATGCCTTTCAGTACCCCCACAAATAGTGAGATGCATCGAACATCTGATGCCGCTCTGGAGGACACGTTTCACCGTAACATCTGGTGAAACAAGAGTGTCTACCAGAGCAGTGCCATTTAGGAGAGGCGTATACCAGGGAGATACCCTGAGTCCTCTCCTATTTTGCATCTCACTGCTGCCATTATCTGTCACTCTACGCCGAACGCCTGGATATAAAGCCGGACGAGTCTCCAACCGCGTACACAAAGTCACACATCTATTTTATATGGATGACTTGAAAGTGTACGCGGCAAGTCCTGAGAGACTCCGAACAGCCTTAGAGGTTGTTTCCGAGTATACCAGTGCAATCGGCATGGAGTTTGGGTTGGACAAGTGCGCAGTTGCCCACTTAGTAA